CGCAGATCAGAGCAGAGGAACAGCTGGGCTCCACCCCCTTCCTGACTCCACACAGGGCTCACGGCAGGGCATTTCGCTGGGCACTGCTGGGGCCGGGGGGCCGGGAGGGGCAGGGCCGTACCCGCAGGTTGTTTTTCTCCTCTTTTCTCTTGATCCAGTTGAGGGCCTGCTGCTGGGGGTCGATGCAGAGGGGGAAGCGGCTGGCCCGGGTGGTGAGGATGCCGTTCTGGATGGAGAGCTCGTCGGGGGGCAGGCCCTGGGAGCCCCACCTGGAAGGGACAGCGGCAGGGAAATCCATTTCTCTTGCCAAGTTGTGAACCAAGGACGAGGGTGGTGGGGTCGGCTTCCCAGAACAATCCACAGTCCCGAGACCGCTGGTCCCTCCTCGGGGCCCGGGCGCTGGCTGTGCAGGGCCCCCCGTGCTGTGCCCTGCAGGGGCCGCCCGCGGGGCCCAGCTGGAGGCGCCCCTGGGCCTGCGGGCGCGGACACACACCTGCTGATCTCCACTTCGTCCGTGAGCAGGCTCTCCAGGCGGAAAGGGACGCTCAGGGGGATCTCCCGCTCCGTGATGTCCTGCTGCCAGACCTGGTTGACCATCTCGTTGCGGAACTCCCAGGTGAAGGCGCCCTCGTAGCTCAGGAAGGCCGCGCACAGCAGGCAGTCGCCCAGCAGCCGGACACGCCGATGCATCAGCTCGTCCAGGTCCCTCAGCCACCTGGCGCAGGAGGGCGCTGTGGTGAGCAGGCACCTTCCTGCACCCTCTAAAGAACATTCTAGAAGAACCAACTGGACCCACTGCTAACGGGGACACAGAGGGAAACATCGATGTGAGAGAGACACATCGATGGGTTGCCTCCCACACATGCCCGGACCAGGGCCAGGGGATCGAGTCTGCAAACCCAGGTACGTGCCCTCAACCAGAATCGAACCCGGGACCCTTCATTCCCAACGCCCTATCTATCCACTGAGCCAAACCAGCGAGGGCTAAATCAGACTCTCCCCCCGTTTCCAGACGAGAACGCAGACGCCCGCCCACCTGATGTTCTCCGAGCCCAGCCCCGAGATGAGCTTGTCCGCGGCGATGAGCCGGCGCTCCATGATCTCCGCCTCCTCCTGCAGCTTCTGCTTCTCCAGGATGGCCGCCTCGTACTTGGCCCCCAGGGCTTCCAGCTCTCTCTGGAGCGCCGCCAGCTCGTTCTGGATCTTCTCCAGCTCCCGCTTCGTGAGGAAGTAGTTCCGCTCCAGCCTGGCCACCTACGGAGACAGTCGCGGGACGGTGGGGAAGCGGTCCATGGTGGGCAGGGCCACGAGCCGCACCCCGGCTGACTCCGCCTGCTTCCTAACGAGGTCCGTGCCCTTTGGGGCCACCCCTGCCACGGCGAGACCGTCCTGTGACTGTCGGCGACCGCAGCCCTCGACAGCAACCTTGAATCTCTTTCATCCTGCTCTCTTCACACAAAATTGGAAAATCTTTAGGACAGTTTCTGTCAGTTCCCATTAGGCCCAAATGAGAGCTGTAGTTTGTTTATTGGGGAGAAAATGTTTATGGGGCTTAAGATCGAGCTTCTCCGAGGGCAGAATTTGCCGGGATTCTCCCAGCAAAGCAGTGGGCACGTTAACTGACTCCAAATGGGTCCCTCAGCGGCAGTGCTTGCGCCTGACGGACGGGCGATACCTTTTCTCTCTTGGGCTTGATCTCTTTAAAAACGTCGCAGTAGCTCATGACGGCTTCGACGAACTTCAGCATCCCCAGGCCTGCTTTGCTCACAGCCTCCATTTCTTCAATGGTGGTGTTGAGAGTCTTCAAGAGACCTGACGGTCAAAGGCGCCATGGCTCAGTGACGGGGAAGACTTGCCCGTGGACAAGGCACGTGACCGGGACCCAGGGTCCCACGGACAGCAGGGTGGGTCCAACCCTGAACATGTTTTAAGTCAGAGGATATTTCAGATGTGACGGCACAGAATGTCCCATGATCCGGGCGCTTCCCTATGGCCGCGGCAGCCCCAGGGGACTCCCAGCCGGCGCCAAGGCCCAGAGCAGGGCACTAACAGCTCGCAGGCCATTAGGGGTCACGGTGGCCTCTCCCGCTCCCCCACCCACAGCGCCTGGGGTTTCTGGGATTGGCAGCCTTTGGTTTGTGTCTAAGTGGCTGCAGAAGTGCGCGGGGTGACAGTGCCGAGCAGCGTTGGGGAGAACAGTGGTGCCAGGCACTCGAGCCGTCTTAGCAAAGACTGTTCCCCTCCCACCCCCCCACCCCACCCCCGGGCTCAGGCCTGCGGGCCAGGCGGGGTGGGCACTCTGTGCTGAAGTCAGGGGCTGGCCGTGGGCGGTGCCGCCCGCCTCCACACCCTCCCCGCCAGGGACCCGCAGGAGAGCTTATGCGGCAAGAGGCACAAGAGGAGAGCTCGGGGGTTAGGCCGACTCCAGGCACCACCAGGCCTGTCGGGAGGCGCAGAAGGTGGCGCTGGCCTGAGTGCCAGGAGACGGGCCTGTCCTGCTTCCCGGGACAGCGCCACCATCTGCCTCCAGAAGCCCCTCCATCCGCAGGGCCACGGGCCCCCCTGCCTGCGACAAGCCCCTCCTGGCTCTCCATCCCGGCCCCCGGGACTGAGGTGCCCCGTGGAGAGCGAGCTGGCCTTCCCGCCACACCCACACGCACTGCGGATGTTCTTCACTTGGCCCTGGGTGATGGAGTCGAAGTCGATCTCCATGAGCGAGCGCAGGAAGTTGGGGTCGGACATCATGCCCTTGGCCGTCTTCCAGTTGAGCTCCTTGTAGCCCTTCATGATGAGGATGCACTCGCACACCGTCTGCACCTGCTTCGGGGGCTTCGCGAAGGACCTGGCGGACACGGGAGGCGGGTGAGCGCAGCCTCAACGAGGGTCCTGGCACATGCGCACCTGGAGCTGGGCCTCGGAGCGGCCATGCGTGGGGGCAGGAAGCCACGTCCCAGCGGGTGAGCTGCTCCGAGGGCAGGTCTGGGGCCTCACCCTTTGGCCGCGCCCCCCAACCCCCGCATCGCCCAGGGCCCCCAGGGGGGCGCTTTGCTGTCGTTCCAGCGGGTGCTACCCGGCCCTGAGTGCGTTCCCATCGAGAGGACCGACTCACAGAGCACCCCCCCCCCCGCGCCACAGCCCGCTCTGGAGCCCAGTCTCCCCGTGGGAGTCAGCCTGGGTTCAAGGGCAGCAGCGCTGCTCCCCACCAGCTGGGGGCCTAGGGCCAGCCACCGCGCCGCCCGGGCCCCCTTCCCTCCTCTGCAAACGAAGACCATCCCCTCCGCGGGCCGCGCTAGCTCTGCCACGACAACCGCGCTGCTTTCCGGAGTGACGCTGGGGACGAGCCCAGCGGGAGGCGGCCCTGCCCGGTACCTGATCTCTGTCACGTCCGACTTGTCCAGCTTCTGCAACTCCAGCTTGGCGGCCTCCAGGATGGGCATGACCTCGGCGAGGGCCGTCTCGGCCTCGGCCTTCTCCACCGCAATGATCTTGTTCTGCTCCTCGATGTCTATGGCCTTCTCTTCCGCCAGCTTCTTCTTTTCCTCCGCTGGGGGCGGGGGTTAGAGAGGCGACTGGGTGTGGGGGACGGACCACTGCTACTGAGCCAAAGCAGGGGCAGCCCTTCAGGGTCGTGGCTGGGCCACAGGGGGAGGTGATACGCGTTGGCCAATATGGTGGCCTCGGGAGTCCCCCTAGAACACGGGTGCTCACGGGACACTGGGTCTCAACCAGGACTGCTGCTCTGACTGACCTCCCAGCCATGTCTCACCCGCTCCAGCCCACGTGACAGCCCCCGGCCGGCCTGCCCAGGGCCCGCGGACACCGTGCCCTCCCTGTCTCCGGCTCACTGGGACCTCTCTGCCTTTTCATCACCCTTTTCCCGTGTGCTTTCAGGCCCAACTCAAAAGCCACTCCCTCACGTGGCCCGCCCACTGCTCCCGTCTCATCGCTCTGTATCTGCTTCCTGGCACGGGCTCGGCCTGGGTTGTCACATCTCCCTGGCGGCTGACTGTGGTTCCCGCCCCAGCACACAGCACCTCCCGAGGCTCCCAGGAGGGACACTGGGTCGAATAATGTTCCCCCAAATGCACGCCCACCCAGAACCTCAGAATGCCACCTAATTTGGAAAGAGTGTCTTTGTCAGACGGAGGGAAGAGGTCATGTGACGACAGGGCAGAGGTGGGGGGATGCATCTATGACCGAGGAATGCCCAGGCCTGCAGCCCCCCAGGGCCTCTGGAGGAGGTCAGCCTGCTGTGGGGTGTCCCCGCCGTGCCCGGCCCGCACTCACCGGTGGCTGTGTTGGTGACAATCTCATCCAGCAGGGTCTCGCAGGCGGCGGACTTCTCGGCCAGCACGATCTTCTGCTCGGCCAGCTTCCTGTTCAGCTCGTCCAGCTGAATGGAGGCCTCCTTCAGCTTGTCCAGCCCGCCCTCCAGCCGCTTGCACTGAGCTGAGGACAGAGAGCGGCGTCCAGCGGCCAGGCGGCTGTTTCCAGCACCCGGGCCGGCACACCAGCGGCCTCGCGGCGCCGGGCCAGCCTGGGCTCGCCGGGAAACAGCCTTCTCATGAAATGTCAAGCATCGCTCGGCACCTCCACCACCAGAGGTGTTAGGATGGCATCAGCCAAAATGAACTTAGTTCTGAAAACAGCCCTTGGTCTGGCCAAGGGTCACGGCATTTTTGAAAAAGCATTTCCCAACAAAAAAAGCACAAAAGGACTTAAACCAAAAGTCAGGTAGAGATGACTTCTATGCAAAACTTTTAGGAGCGATTTTAAATTTCCCTTCCCTATCCCTGACTTTTAACCTTTGCACAATATATACGTTACCTCTGCTTTAGGCTTGTCTTTTTCAATAAGAAATAAATCAGAGCCAGAACCGGTTTGGCTCAGTGGATAGAGCGTCGGCCTGCGGGCTCAAGGGTCCCGGGTTCGATTCCGGTCGGGGGCATGTACCTTGGTTGCGGGCACATCCCCAATGGGGGGTGTGCAGGAGGCAGCTGATCGATGTTTCTCTCTCATCAATGTTTCTGGCTCTCTATCCCTCTCCCTTCCTCTCTGTGAAAAATCAATAAAATATATTTAAAAAAAAAAAAAAAGAAAGAAAGAAATCAGAAACTAAAAGCATCCACCAGCAGAGCGCACTGCTGCCGCCGACTCTCCAGTCTCAGGGCACTTAGAGCTGAGCAGGTTCACAGCCCAGCACCGGAAGGAGAGGTCAGGCGTGCCAGGCCCTGCCACACAGGAGAGCCCCTGGAGAGCAAACCCCAGCTGGGTCTCGCTCCGCCTGGGTCCTGTGCACGCCTGGCCTCACTAAGCAGCGCCGCTCACACCAGGTTGGGGTCTGGATCGCCGTCAATGATGACACGCCTGTAGCCACCCGCTCCCAGGCTCACCTATGTTATTCTGGGTTTTCTCGTCCAGTAGTTTCGAGTACGTGTTAATAAAATCAAGGTAGTTCTTGGGAGTCACGTAGTTGCTGCGCCTCAGCTTCTGCAGAAATTGTTTGCTGAATTCACCCACGGACCCGTGCACCAAAACCACATGTTCCACCAGATCTTCTATGTGTTCTTCCGGGATCATCGTATTAGGCCCTACGGAGGGAGGGACGGACAACGTGCCTCTTCACGAAAGGACAAGAGCAGCTCCTCGAAAAGTTAAATGAGGATTCCCACGGGACCCAGCAGTTCCGCTCCTGGCTGTGTCCCCCAAAGGAGTGAAAGCCGACACAAGCAGATTCTCGGACGCCGATGTTCACCGCAGCATGAGTCACAACAGCCGAAGCAGAAGTGACCCAAGTGTCCACCCACGGACGACGGATAAACGTGTGGTCCATCCACGCAAGGGAATGTTCATCAGCCTTAAAGAGGGAGGCTCGCCCGGAAGCATGCTACATGAGAGCAGGCAGAGGGACAAGCGTGGTGTGACTGGACTTATGTGAGATATCCAGATCAGGCACATTCAGGACGTGGTGGTGCTGGCGACACAATGTGGACGTACTTAATGCCACTGACCTGTATATTTAAAAGTGGTTTAAAAGGCAATTTTTATGTTATATATATTTTACCACCAAAAAAGTGATATAAAATGTTTTTGGAAGAACAAGAGCCATTGTCACTTGCTGGTGGCCCCTCCGGGCCACGGTGCTGATCCACACTCCGAAATGCTCCTCTCCTGGCCCCTCCCCCACACCTGCACTCCTCACAACAGGGACTGGTTTGCTGACTATGTATTTACAAGGTGACACTTGATTTATTTACTCCTAGTTGCTAATCCTCTCCCGAGGACCTCTCCATTGATGTTTAGGAAGATTGGCAGGCTGAGCGGTTGAGTGTCGATCTGTGAACCAGGAGGCCATGGTTTGATTCTGGTCAGGGCACATGCCCAGGTTTCAGGCTCGATCCCCAGTGTGGGGCATGGGGAAGGCAGCCGATCCATGATTCTCTCTCATCATTGAAGGTTCTCTCTCTCCCTCCTTCTCCCTTCCTCTCTGACATCAATAAAAATATTTTTTAACACATTGCGGACGGATTATGAGAATTCTCGCTTCATATTACAGTGTTTTACAAAGTCTCATACTTTAAAAAGATACTAGCTGGTAATAAAAGAACATGTAATAAATAACTTCAAAATGCAATGGTTATTTAATTTTAAGGCGTGCCTTTAACATTTATGTAAAATGCTTTTTGTACTCGTTCAATAGAAACTTATCTGACCACTGGGTAAAGCCAGCAATGAAACTACTGGTCCGCCATGTGTTAAAAGAAGGCGGTCACAAACTGCTTAGTTATACCACTGATGTGGTCCCCATCTTCGCTGCCACTTACCTAAAAATGACTTGGCGACCGCATGCAGGGCCTGGGGCGGCCAGGGCATGAACCAGTCAATGCCAGTGTTATTCACCAGACCTTGAAAGCAGAGAAACAGAGGGTCGCTGTGCAACCCGGACCCTCAACACCGACACATCTTCCGTTCCCAACACACAGGTGCCCGAGAGTAACTCAGCCGCAGCGGGTGGCGCCAGCCCAGCACTGCTGACACGTGGGCAGTCTGGGCACGAGGCTGTCTGCAGCCCCCTGGCCTCCCTCGGTGGTGTACCTGCCAGCCCAGCACTGCTGACACGTGGGCAGTCTGGGCACGAGGCTGTCTGCAGCCCCCTGGCCTCTCTCGGTGGTGTACCTGCCAGCCCAGCACTGACAACCCAGCGTGCCCGAGGGCACTGCACCTCCCACCGACTAGCACGATTCTGGCACAGGGGAGGCAGCAGAAGTGCTGCTGAGCCCACCCGGGGCCTCGCCCTGGGACTGTGAGCATGTCCTGCCGTAAGGACATCACCCCCCGGGGACAACACGCACGGGCGACGCCTGCTGGCCCCACACTGCACGGTCCGAACCCACGACACGGCGAGTTTCACTGGCTGGTGGAGCCTCAGGTCGTGCATCGCTCCCCGAGGCACAGGCCCTGCTGAAGGGGGCGCACCTGGGAAGTTCCGGCACCAGGTCCTCAGGGCGTCCCCCACGGGCGACATGCCCAGGACGATGTGCAGGTTGTTGGCACTCTTGTTCACGAAGTACTGCCACACGGACTCCTTGGCCGGGCTGACCCCCTGCTTCAGCGCCTCCTGGTCAATCTGACTGAGGATGGTCTCCTTCTCATCTTCGGCGAAGAGCGCGGGCACCATGCCTGGGACGAGGACAGGCGGGTTCCCCGGGGCCGGGAGTCCCTCCGGCCCTGAGCACACGGAGCACAGGGTCCCCGGAAGAGTCCAAACCGCAACTCTGAGACCCAAGGCTCACCCTTCGAGCCTCAACCTCCTCCCTGTGAAGTGGGAACGACCAACGCCTCCTGCTCACGGCGGGGGGGAGGGCGGGGGGGGGGGGGGTCACGAGCATCAGAGCAGGGTTCTCCTCTGGGGGCAGTTCCCCCCGAGAGGCACTTGGCCCGATGTCACGGCTTCTGGGGGGGTTGCCAGTGGCCTGTCGTGCTCCCCCCGCCCCCCACGGCGAGCGCCTGGAGGACGCCCCGGGGCCGGCACCTGAGGTGAGCATGTTGTTGATGAGCTCCAGGAAGCCCTCCTCCACCACGTGCGCGTCCGTGAACAGGAAGATCGTCGTCTTGTTCTCGATGCCCAGCCTCAGGTAGAGGTTCTTCAGGTCTTCCCGGAAGTTGCTCTCCGAGTAGCCGCGGCTCAGGAGGATCTCGAACACCTGCCGGCACGGAGCAGGGCGCTGCGTGGGACCGCGAGCGCGAGGGGGGGCAGCTCCGTGACGCGGAACTCGCACGTCTGCAGGGACTGCCAGGGCGAGAGCCATCGGCGAGGGATGAGCCAGGGCCAACCAGGTGACCAGGCTGTTTTCACACGAGACTATTGAGTGAGAGACTCGGGACAGAAAAGCAGTCGCGTCCTTTTGTCAAACAAACCAGATGGGCACTCAGCCTGCACACGGGGGAGGGGCGTGCGGCGGGCACGGGGCTGTCCGAGGGGCTGTGTGAGTGGGAGGAAGCGGGTGTAAGAGACCTTTGGTTGTGAAAATGAGTTAGTTGGGTTACAGGGAGGAAAGGAAGCCGAGGATGAGCGAGCAGTAAAGGCAGCGGGACCAGCACCAGGCGTGAGCTCCCTCCGCCCGATGAACCAATGAACGGGGAGGCTGTGCAGAAGCTGCCCGTGGAGCTAACGCCTCCCTCAGTGGGCAGCTGGGCCGGAGGCGCTCACCTCGTAGCCGGCCGTGAAGGCGGCCAGCTTGGCCAGGGACTGCTTCCCGGAGCCGCCGACGCCCACCAGCAGCGCGTGGCCGCGGTCCAGGCGGATGATGCGGTGCACGCGCGTCACGTGCTCCAGGGCGTCGTCGAACAGCACCAGGTCCATGCGGGTGTTGCTCTCGTTGTACTCCTCCAGGATCTCCTGCGGGACCGTTCGGAGGGTGAGGCCGGGCTCTCTCCTGCTGTCCCGGAGGGACCAGGAGTGGAGGGGACACTCCTCTCCCTGCCTGAGGACTGAGGAGTGGATCACGTGGGTTGAGGGGCCTGAGTCCAGCATGCACGATGGAGGCTTCCATTGCTGGCTGGAGGTTGAGCCCACGCTGGTTGCAAGGCTCCACTCGGGAGAGTGGTTCCCGAACCTGGCGATGCACCGGCACCCGGGGCCTCCCTGGCTCGACGGAGGGACTCTCGGGGGTGAGCCCAGGGGTCTGTGTCACACACTCCTCCGGTCATTCGCACGCACCCAGGACAGGGAAACCGCCGGAGGGGACACCAGCCCCGCCCGCACCTGGAACAGAGCCTTGGCCGCCTCGTAGTCCTGGATGTCTTCGTAAATGCGCTCCTCCTCCTCGTGCAGCGCCATGCGGAAGTCCCCGAACAGGATGGGGTCCCGCATCACCACCTCCACGTCGTCCTTGAAGTGCTCCGTGACCAGGTCTGATATGTACTCTTGCACCTGCGACAGGGGCCAGTAACGACCCAAAGCCCACACCGCGCCCTCACTGGCGGGGGAGGCACAACCAGGTCATGCGGCCCAGTCCCTCCCAAACGCGACCAGGCGCTCACTGGCCCACCCTCCTCGACGCCGACCTCTGTCTTCAGTGTCTATTCGCTACATAACAACACATGGGGTTTTCTGCTCCCCCGCCCCCCAGGGACCCGTGGGCCGAGCGGCATCTGCGTGGCTCTGAGCACAGACCAGAGCCTTGTCGTCTTCGTTGATCAGCCGGTCGTGGAAGACACGCAGACACTCGTTCCTCCAGACCCTCACCATCTGGGCCACCGTCTGGAACCTGCGATGGAAGGGCCGCCATCAGCCACGAGGCATCGAGTCGCAGGCTGATGCTCCTGCCTAGGTGAGTTCCCGGGTGCGGACGAGGACAGCCTCTCTGTGGGCCTCCTCGGCCCTCCCGCTGGGCTCACAGGAATGGGGCTAATGGAAGCCGGCACGTTCCCTGTGAAGAGCGTAAGGTGGTGTCTAGAGCGCGCCCTCCGAGAGGGAAGAAAAGGGCGCTGTCTCTAAAGGACACACGTGGCACAGGATGCGTGCCCTACAGCTCCGCCGGCTGGGACCCGGGATCTAAAACCAGCATGGGCACCAGCAGCGCCTCCTTCTCAGAGCCAGCTCCGTCCCGCCCGGACCTGGACTTCCTCTGGTTTCTGGCAAAGAGCCCTCACGCCACCCCGAATGCCTGGAGCTGCCCCCTCCTGAGCTGCCAGTCCGAACCCCGCGAGGGTGCCCAGGTCGGTCTGGGCTGGTGTGGGGTCCTTAACCCGTTTATAGGATGCGGATTCATAATGTGACTCTATGCTTGCAGATCCACGTGAAGTGTTCATTGGTGCAAATACACACACACAGAGAGATACAGAAAATAAAAATAAAGAAAAGAAAAACACAAACAAGTCTAGTTTGACGGAGAAAACAGTGTGACCAGCTTACATCCTCTGTGGTTGCTTCTCCCAAAGACACACAGTTCACCGACTTCAACTGCAAACGCTCCCGTGGCAGGAGCGCGAGGAACACACGGGCACGTTCAGACGGGGAGTGGGGACTAAGAGTGAGAGGGCAGCAGAGCGGTCCGGCCGGGGACGCACTGTCCCGTCACCCTCTGCCCCGTCCCTCCGCCTTCAACCCGAGGGCGGACGAGGCGGCGGGGCGTGTGAGGTAAACAAAGGCCCTGCGCCCACTGTGCACGGGCTGACGGGACGTGCCGCCAGGTCCTTGTCTTAAAGGAACAGAAGAGCCCCTGCTGCGCACATGCCGGAGACGCCCCGACTCACCGCTCAGGGTTGGTGAGGACCAGCCCGTGGAACACCCGCGAGAGGTCGCGCAGGTTGAAGATGTAGTGGAACTTGGACGGGGTGGGCGGCAGCTCCTGCACGATGTCCGTGTAGAGCTGCAGCGTGCAGCGCGTCAGCCTGTCGCTCACGGCGACGATGCTCTCGTGAAACACCTAGAAACGGAGAAGGCCCGGTGTCAGTGGTGGCTGGCGAGAGGCACACGTGGTCCATCCACGCGATGGCGCACCACTCGGCCGTGAACAGGAACGGAGCCCTGCCAGGCGCACCGTGCGGGGAGCCGGAGCACACGATGCCGAGGGAGAGAGCGTGGGACCCACTTACAGGAAATGTCCCGATCAGGGAAGCCCATGACACAGAGCAGACTGGGGGCTGCCGGGGCGGGAGGACGGGGGAGGCGGTGAAAACCCCCTAGAACTGAGCAGTGAGGATGGTTGGAAGCCACTGTGAATGGACTAAAGGCCGCTGAATGATGTCCGTTCAGATGGTTCAGAGAACTAATCTCACGTGCCGTGAGTTTCACCGGGATGTTTTAAGAGGAGATAAAAGTTACCACAGAGAAACCCATCATCTGCTTCTGGGCCCCCGTCACTCTGACAAGTCCGCACGGGGTGAACCACCCTCAGTCTGGGTTTTGCGGGTGCAGACTGTGCAGTTTTGAAAGCAAATGCCTTCAGGTGGGGCATGAACAGGCCTGGTGCCCGCCGGTCCTGCTGACCCCCCGCCGTCCCTCAGATTCGCCTCTGCCTGGCCCTGAGGACCTGAGTGTGGGGGCCCCTTCAGAAGGGACAGGCCAGGGCCAGAGGCCATGAGTAAACACATGGGCTGCACTCGTGGGGGCCAAGCAGTCAGCATGACAGCAGCAGTAACGCATCCATCGGCATCTGCTCTGTGCCAGGCCCTGGGCCACACAACGTGCGCCTCTCCTTCCCCCACACGCCAGGGCGCGGGTGCCCCGTGCTCCTGCTCCAGGTGAGGGCGCCCCGGAGGCTCACGGCATCTGCAGCGCAGCGTGGGGGCGGCGCCAGCACCGAGCCCGGGCGATTCACTGCTGTAACTCAAGGCCACAACCCAACTCGCAGGGCCGAGGCACTTTGGCCTCTGAGCCCCTTTCCTCATAAAATGCCTTGTTTGATGAGAGCGCGGGTGTGAGGATGCATACACTGTGGGCTGATCACACTCATTTCCCTCCTGGTTTTGAAAGAAATAACGTGTTCACAGGCCCGAAGAGCACCGTGGGCGGCAGGTGCCGAGTGCCGAGTGCGCACGTCGCCCCACGCCCCACCCCACACGAGGCACGTTAGTTGGACGGCGAGGAAAGCCGGTTACCGAGGTGTGGCCTCTCAGGATGGAGAAGTAGATCAGGTGCAGAGACATCTCCGAGGGGAACGGCACGTTGAAGACGCTGAACAGCGAGAGGAACCGCGGGTCCACCTCGTTGCGGCCGCCCCCCGCCTTGCCCATGGCCGCGATGAAGCCGAGGTCTCGGATGCTCTTGCAGTTCAGCTCCTTGCCGCGGTCGTACAGGAAGCCCTTCTCCAGCAGCAGCTTCAGCAGGGCGATGGGCTGCTGGGTGCCGTACTCGTCCACCTGGGTGTGCAGAGAAGACGACGGTGCCATCGCCTTGGCCCCCCAGCACGCGGGGCCGCTTCACAGGCTTCTCGGCAACTGTGCAGGCATTCGCCACGGCGCCCCTGAGCCAGGCCCGTGGGGCGGGGCCCACAGGGTGTGCTCCTCGCCGCGCAGCACCGATGCCACAGGAGCTGCTCAGTAAACATGCTGACTGAATGGCTGGGCGGAGAGACATGTGGGCGGATGCACGGATAGAGGGACAGACGGATGAGTGATAGAGGAATGGCTAAGTGGGTGTGTGGGCGGGTGCATGGACGGATGGACTGATGGGAGGATGGACAGATGCACGGATGGATTGATAGGAGGATGGACACACACATGGACAGATGGACTGATGGGAGGATGGACAGATGCATGGACAGACAGACTGATGGGAAGATGGACAGATGCATGGACGGATGGATGAATCTTGCTTTGAGCAAAGCCCTTCTGGAAGGCAGGCTTTCGGGAAAAGATGGTGCTATAGGTGATATACATGTGAAGCCCAGGACTAAGAAGCTTTGCCCGTCTCAGGCTCGAGCTCCCGCCCCTGGTAAATCCGGAGGGATTCTTGGGACGTGCCTGCCCGTAGGCCTCCATGTACGTGGGGCCGGGAACAGTGTAGTATCGAAAGCACAGCTCACGTGGAAACACCTGCCCAAGCACACGCTAGATGGGGCGCAGAGGCCACCTCGTGCTGCGTTACTCCTACGGAGCCGAGGAACCCCGTCCCTGCGGACAAGCCCCTCGAAGAGGAACAGCCCAGGAGTCCCCAGCACTGTGCCCTGCGCATGCAGAACGAGACAGGTCTCCTCACACACGCTCTCACCATGCATGTGCGCATACACACACACACACACACACACACACACACACACCAGCGCCCGGCCCCGCCCCCCTTCCCGCCCCGTGAACTCCCACGACCTTGGGCATGTTCATGTCGTCCATGAACACCAGCAGGCGTTTTCCCATGGGGGGGCCGTAGGTGTCCTTGGTCCGTTTTTCCACGTTTGCTTCTAAGTTTCTCTGGATGTCCAGGGAGGTGGTGCGGGAAGAGAAATTGACCATCAGCACAATCTGAAACAGGAAGAGAGGGTTCCAAACGATAAACCGTAAGCCACCGCCTCTTTCACCGACGTCATGGCATCGGACCTGCCTCCATAAACCAGTGTGTCTGCACTTCATCCACTTTAAGTTCGAGCAGGGATTTGGCTTCCCTCTCGACAGGCTGCAGGGCAGCAACGAGCTGCCGCCTGTGAGCCTTGGGGATAACGTGGCCCGGGCTCAGCCCTGCGGGGCCACCTCCGAGAGTCATTTAACGTCTGAGGCCCTTCTCCTCGGTGGGTGCCGGGCGCTCCACAGGGCGACGCATCGAGAGGACGTGCACAAAGGCACTTGCCACGAGACAAAGCGCCGTTCAAGTGGAGGCTCCTCCCTTCTGGCCGTCTCAGGCCACAAGGCCATGGACCAGCACTGAGCCTTCCTCGGGCCTCACTGCCAAGGGGAGGGGGAGGGCGGCCCCGGACCCCGTGTGCCCAGGGACGCGGGCCTCTGCTTCTCAGAGAATCACTGGGAGTCAGTCCACTGATCAGTGGTCCCCAGGCTTCAGGCATCAGAGTCGCCCAGTGGGCTTGTCTGGGTGGAGGAGCAGTGCTCAGGGGACGCTGCTGAACTGGAGGACCACGGCCTCAGATGGACCCTCCCACCAAGGTGCCCCGAGCACACGCGCACATCAGCTCCCGACAGCGACCCTGGGCAGACATCAGCTCCCGACAGCGACCCTGGGCAGAGTGCCTGTCGGCCCGCGAGCCCCCGCAGCCGAGTCCCCCCTTGGCCTGACCCACAAACCTGCAGCTCGGGCTGCGAACACCCCTTCTGTGTCCCCACAACAACATCCTGGAGCTCGCTAACCCGTGCTGCACGCGTGGGGTGCAAGCGAGCCTGACCCGCGGCCACCTCCCTGCTGGATCCATACAGGCATCACTTACGTTAGTCTCTTCGCTCAGGTTTTTGAGGAAGTTCTGGGTGGTGGCTGTCTTCGAGGTGCCAGACTCGCCGACCAAAAGAACGGGATGCTTGATCTTGACCATGCGCTCCAGCATCCAGGCCGTGCGGGTGGTGTCCACCGTGTGAACTGCGGGACATCCCGGGGGGAGCGTCAGGGACACGCCAGGGGGCGAGCGCCACGGGACAGGGCCTGGTTCTCACTCACCCAGGATCTCAATGAACCTCCTCTCGCGGGAGTGCACGTACTCGGGAACCAGCTTGCTCCACGGGATCCACCTCTTCTGGGCAGGATCGAAGTGGAAGTCGTACAGGGTGGGGAGCTGAGCTGCAGTAAATAACCGTCCAGACCACTTGGGTCACAGACATGGACACGCACCATCGGCCCGGAACGCGCTTGCCATGAACTCACGCCACTGGCTCCCGGGACGGCAGCTTCCTTGAGAACTTCTGACGCACCCACCCCCTCTCCACACAGATGACCGGCCCGGGGAGCCAGCCCCCTCACTTACTGCACACGTGCTGCGTGCCGTGAGCCAGCGCTGCCCGGCCCCTGGGCAGACACTTGCTGAGCCCCTTCCCTGGGATGCAACAGTGGGAGGCAGCCCTGGTTCCTAGAGTAGCTGCTGGTGGGTTGGGTGGGGAGAGAGTGACAGGTAAGCAGGCGACTGGGTTCCTACCTGGCAGTTCCCCGGGCCGGGCCCACACCCCGTCCAGCTCGGCAGAAGGCAGGGAGGCGAGGCGCTTGATGCACTCGTCGAACCGGTTGCGGCCGAAGTCCAGCAGGCAGGCGCCCAGCGAGCAGTACAGCGCCTCCAGGAAGAAGCACTCCAGCAGGTCGGGGTCCTCTATCTCCCCTTCGAGGAACGCGTCCAGCACCTTGGTCAACTGGGTCACCTGGCGCACAGGAAGTGCCCAGGTCAGCATGGATAACCCCCCACACGCCAAGCTTTGGCCACGGACCTGGGGGCCCAGGCTCTGGAGCGATGGAACACGACCGCCTCCGGGCTCAGACGGAGGAGCTTGTCTGGCGCAGGACAAGGAAGAGCCGTGCCTCCTCATCACGGCCTGCAGTGCTGGTCGCCCGCCGGGCGTCTCGCTTCCCCGAGAGCCCGCGCGGGCTTGTCCTCACCATGTTCAGGTGCGTCTGCGGGACGATCATCTTCAGCTTCTCTCCCTGCCTCCCGTCCACGATGCCCTCCACGATCACATCTATGAGGTAGGGCACGTACTTCTCAAAGAGGTTCTGCAATACGACCTGCTCCACCTGCAGGGGGCAGAGTTCCGGGCATTCCCAAGGGCTCCCGGGAGGAGGTGGGGTAACAGGTCCCATCCGACAGAAAAGGGGCTCCTCATCTCAGAGCTCAAGTGACGAGGCCATGGTCATCGAGCGGCCATCGGCCATGATGGGCAGGCACTAAGGTCCGTGGCTCTGCCCCTTCCTGCACTATGGCCACTTCCAGGCCACAGCGGCAGAGCTGAGTAGTTACACAGGAAACCATACGACCCACACGTCTAGAATGCTGACCTGGTACCCTTTACAGAAAAAAGAAAAGGCATCGACCCCGGGTCTAGATGAGCAAAATCATCACCCATCTCACAGCTGTGAGCTATCTGGGAACCCAGTGAGTGTGTCTTGATGTTTCCATCTAATTTATTGGAAACATGAAGTGCCTAAGACCATGAGCAACAGGTCCCGGTCAAGGTCATGGCCTTCAACTACACCTTCCTGGGCTATGTGAGCCCAACCAGCCACCAAAGCAAACGAGGAAGCTCACGTCAGAAGTGACTTCACCTTGTTCTGTATCTGCTGAAGCCATTTCTTCCAGTAGGGCTGGTATTTCAGGTTCTTGGGGTCCACGTAGACCATTCCACAGCGGGACACGGTCGCGGGGGAGGCGTACTGTAAGTCTCCCACCTGGAGGGGGAGGAAGGGCTCACAGCTGCGAAGCCCACACGCAGATGAGCAGCCCTCATGCGGCTCCCATCGAGCACTGAGGGTTATCATGGAAGATTAAGGTCGCCGATGCAGCACCTTCTAAAATGTCCCATTTCTATCAAATCAATGTGAAAACTAATAGGCTGTGGAATATCTGACAAAAACAAAAAAAAGTATAAAGAGGAAAGTAGCTTAATCCCAAATCCCACCACCAAGAAATAGACATGGCTGTGGAGTGCTTGCTTTTTAGTCTTTTTTTGTTTCCTGTTTAACATAGCTGACGTTGGGTAGAATAAACCGTAATAACCATGCACCTAGAGCAGCAACATTAACACGTATCCCTCCTTCCGCAGACACAGACGCGGCTCTCTCTGCCAACAGGACCACGGCCTGCACAGACAGGCTGGAATGGCCGTGGCTACAGAGGGAGCAAGTCCCAGGCCCACAGCTGTGATGCAGACTCAGGCTGTGACAGCAACTTTGAAAAACGAATGAAGGTAAGATAAGAGCAAAGAGTGTGGGAGAAAAAGCAAGGCAATGACAAACTCCAGGCAAAAAAAAAAAAAAAAAATGGCTCCAAAAGAAAGTCAATGTAATCGGTGCCTAGTGGCTCTCAGTAAAGACGGCCGTTCCCACAAGCATGTGACTGACGGAGCGATGTCGTGTTCTGAGGGGGAGCTGATGGAATCGGTCAGCAGGTGACCAAGTGACTTGAAGCTGACAGCGGAAGAGGAGCCGGCTAAGTGTGTACTTACAGGCACCAGGGACCTGTCAGAGGAAACACGTATGTGTCCTACCTGGTTTTGCCCAGGGGTCAGAGCATCTGCCCTTGGACTGAAGGGTCCCGGGTTCGATTCTGGTCAAGGGCATATACCTAAGCAGCAGGCTCCTGGCCTTGGGTGGAGGCACGTGTGGGAGGCAACCCATCGATGTGACTCCCTCATATCAATGTTTCTCTCTCTGACTCTCCCTCTCCCTTCCACTCTCTCTAAAAAATCAGTGGAAAAAAGATCCCCCGGTGAGGATTAATCAAACAACAACAACCCCCCATAAAAAAGAAGACCCAAGCGTAAGCAGCAGCCACGGCTGAGACGCAGTGAAGAGGGTGAGGGAAGGGGGCCGGGGCATAGAGTGTGCTCAGCACGCACTCTCCTGCATGCTCTGAGCTTCTGCAATCACCGAGCCTTAGTCCTACTTTAACAAACAGCAAGACTCTGTCCGAGTGATCTCTCTGCCACTCGCCTCGAAGAGCAGCGCACAGTGTGCCTGCAGCCGGATGCGCTCGCCGTTGGCCAGCGTCAGCAGCTTGTTGTCGTCCATCACGGAGTTCATGTTCTCCACCCACAGCGCGTCCACGTCGCCGTCAAACAAGATGTACCTGCAGCACCGAGCAGCCGTGAGCCCGAGCCCGAGCCCGGGTCCCAGCAGCTCCCAGCCCCGGGGCCTGGAGGAGCGTCCCTCCCCAGAGACTCACTTCCGCTCCTTCTTGTCCGTCGGCTTGTTGATCTCCCTGAAGATGTTGGACAGCACGCCGTCCGTCCAGTCGCGGGTGCTGGGGTCCAGGATGCCGTAGAGCTCTATGACGCTCACGGCCTTGGGGTTCAGGATGTACAGCTTGGTCGTCAGGCCCAGCCTAAGTCAGAGGAGAGGCCTCGGGGGGGCTGAGCGCGTCGGGACTAGATGCTTCGATCTGACCCGGAATTTAAAATGCGGTCCACACCCTCCCCTGGGCTCCCACTCCTTGCGAGGCAACTACCTTCCCCCAGAACCATGGCCCCAGCACAGGGAAGTCCGCACCGGAAGCCCGGCTGTGTGTTCCGGGGACAATGCGAGGCTCACGTGTACACACACGTGTGCTTGCCCTGTAAACTAACGGCGATAACCGAGGAATGACACGCAGGGTGCTGGGCACGACCCGCCTCCGGTCAGGAAGCCACTGCGCTCTGGTTCCTCTCGTTAGGTCTCAGACCAGCGATGAGCGTGAAAGTCACCGAGAGGCCACGGCTCAGCCGGGCCCTGCTGCCATGTCGGCGGCACCCAGGCCCTTCTAGAATCCAGCCCCCGCTGAGGACACAGGGAGAGGCGCGAGCCCATTCACTAGGAGACATCAGGCCACCGCAGGTCCGTGACCTTGAGGAAGTGATCTTAGGAGTACGAGGTCACTCTCCCACCAGCGCCTGCAGGGCTGGCGGCGACGAGACCTATGGGGAGGGGACTCTCTCTGGTCCCGCTGATGCCCTAAGTGTTTCTAATGCGGGGAGGCCTGGCTGACACCTGAACGCCAAGAAAACATGACTTAAGTTACCTTTTGAAAGAGCCTCATAAGAGAGTCTGTGAAACACTCATTTCACAAGCAAACCCATTCAGTCTGAGGCACAGGAGGCACTGATCGCCTTCTCACACACGTTAAATAACCGGCAGTGAGACAGGCAGGTGCGATGAGATTAAAGGGGTGTTTGGGACAAGTTTAACCTCCCCGGGAATCAGAGCGCAACGAGGGACGGCAGCAGCAGCACCGCCTTCCCATGTCGCCACCGCCTTCCCGTGTCACCCCGCCGCCAGGCCCTGTCCCGCCCCACCGCCAGGCCCCGCCCCACCGCCAGACCCCGCCCCACCGCCAGACCCCGCCGCCAGGCCCCGCCGCCAGGCCCCGCAGGGCATACTCACTTGGTCTGCGCCTGACACAGGCCCCTCCCGTGGGCCCCACCACCATCGTGGTGTGGCGGGTTAGCATGGTCTCGTACACCTGAATGACTTTATCCACCTGGGGACAGAGTCGCAGCTGAGTTAAAACACATCTTTAAAAAAAAACAGCCCCATTGAGCTATGATTTCCATACTATTCAATTCATCCAATGAAAGTGTACACCTCAATGGGTGTACACAAGCTGGGAGCACGTCCACAAGCTGGGAGGCTGTTACACACGCACGCTCACCAGCCACTCTCCCAAGCCGCTCCTCCCGCCGGCACCCACCCCTCCTCTGTCCCTACAGCAATGCCCGTTTACCTTTTCGGTGAGTGTGATTCGGGGTTGGGGGGAGGTGGCTGGGAGAGAACATTAGATGGTTGGACCCCAAAACAAAATACTTAAGTTCTCTGATGACATTATGCCCAAAAATACCCAAGACAAAAAACCCAGACAGTGGTCCATCCATACAATGGGGTTCTGTTCGGCCTTAAGGAAGGAAGTCCTCACGCCTGGGAGCACAAACGCACCGTGGGCCTCAGGCCACGGAAACACGCAGACATGGAGGACACAGATGGGGTGAGTCCGCTGGGAGGGGGAGCTGAGGGGCAGGCGCCTGGACAGGAGGCAGGCGGCGGGTCCCGGGCGGGCGGGGAGGGCGGGAGTCCCTGTTTAAGGACACAGCTGCAGTCGGGAAGGTGGAACAGCCTGGAGATGGTGGCGGGGTGGCCGCGCAGCACGGGGATGTGGAGAGGCTCAGAGGGTACCTTCCCTGGCATCTGTGCTTGGCCACAACTCAAAGGAAATGACAACAAAAGAGAAAGGAAGAAGCGTGGCTCTCGGGTCAGCCCTCTACCTGGACCGGCAGGACCACGAAGCCGTTCTCCTCGAACACCTGCTCGACCGCGTCGTTGAAGCTGGGGTAGCGGACGCGCGGGCAGTCCAGCCCGGGAAACAGGTCGGAGATCAGGCCGAGGAACAGGGGGACGTCCTCAAAGACGAACTTGGGCAGGTTCATGTCGCGAAGCGCCCGCATCAGCACCACGTCCTGGGCGGGAGGAACACAGACGTCTCGGGTGTTTCCCAAAGCCCGGGTCCAGGAACCCTCGCACAGAACGTGGGTGGCGTCTCACACCGCAAAGCGAGCGGACAGCTGTAGAGCAGACATAAAGCGCTGCCCCGGGAGGCGCGGGCGGTGCTGACAAACTGCCCCCAGGTCGGCTCCGTGTAAAGGAGACCCAGCCGCACCTCTCTCGCTACCGCGAAGGGGGCAACAGGCATGTCCCTGCCTGCACCCGCCACCTGCAATGGCGCCTGAGGCTTCCTGCTGAGGCCTCACACACTTAGGTTCTGGGAGACACTGCACTTGACCTTACAGCGATCAGGCCAGTTAGAAGCAGACAGACCACATCAAGGCCGGAAAGCAAATGGCACGGCCGCTAAGACCGAAACAGCCGCGAGGCCCCGTCGCCGCCCGGCACCGGGCACACAGGCGGCCCCACCTCTTTGAGCTCGGAGGAGCCTCTCTTCAGCTCGCCCGCCATGACCAGCACCGACTTCAGGGCCCGGAGCCCAAAGTCGTAGTGATGCTGCTTGGAGAGCTGCTCACGCGCCAGCTTGTACAGAACCGTCATCTTCTTGGCCAGAGTCTGCGAGAAAAGACGGTGAGAAATGAAGGAAGGAAGTGACCCACAGTGTCCACATGAAAGCTGGTCCGCAGGCAAGCTCACCCGCCTGTGCAGGACACTAGAGGGTCCTGTGCTCTCCACTGCGACACGTTAGGGGCTGGCTCAAAAGGACGCCAGCCTTGCCCGGGCGGCGTGGCTCGGAGCTGAGTGCCGACTTATGAATCAGGAGGTTGCCCGGGTTGTGGGCTCCGTCCCAGTGGCGGGTGCGGGGAGGCACCCAATGGCGGACTTTCCCAGTTGCTTTTTTTTTCTCCCTCCTTCCCCCCCTTCACGGGTGGGACGGGGGGGGGGGGGGGGGCGCGCTCACCTTGGCCCAGAGGAAGCCCTCGGAGAAGAGCATGATCTCGCAGATCTGCTGCATGTCGGGCACGATCACCACCACCGGCCTGAAGAGCGCCTTCACCGACTCGGGCAGCTCCGTGCGGCCCGCGTAGCCAGGGTTCATGGTGATGAAGATGCCCATGCGCGAGTCCAGCGAGATCTCCTGCCCTTCGAACTGGAGGACAGGACAGGGGGTCGGACGTCCAGCCCGCCCACGGCAGGGGAAGGAGGCTGGCGGGGCTGTGAGGCTCTTCGAGTCCCTGGGCACCAGGCAGTGCTGTGCTTGGAGCCTCTGTGTCTGGGGGACAAGCCTCAGCCGCCCCCCACGCTCATCGGAATCAAGGGTCTGAGAGGTGGGGAAGGGGCGCAGCCTGGGGCTGACCCGAGGGCTGTGTGACCCCCAACCGTCACTAAACCTCTCTGGGTGTCCTTTGCTGCAAGGCTGTGGAGACCCACTGGGATGACACATGGGAGGGCACCCATTCATTCATGAGTGGTCACCCTTCCCCACCCACCTCTCCCCACAGCATCCTGCCTCAGCCCCGTCCAGACTCCGCCTGCTCCTCCAGGCGCCCCAGGTACCCACACCCTGCACACGTCTCTCTACTCTCAGTCTCTTCGGCCCATGGCCGAGTTCCGACCGCCTCAACCGAGACATCACTATTCTATTTCTCTCAATGGCCCACCAGGCAGACAACAGACAGACCGTGCGTTTTTATGGGGCACAGGCAGCCGCAGTGACAAGAGGGAGCCCAGTGGGTGGACAGCTGATGCTCCCCAAAACAGGTGTCTGCACGGACACCCCCCTGCGCCCCAATACCCCACGTGACTGCCAGGCCACCCTCTGGAGACGACAGACAGGCCACTCTGAATGCGCAGCGGCTGGAACCCGAGTGGCAGCAGGGGAAGGTCTCTCCCACGGAGCGGCCGGGCTGATGGGAGACCCGCCCAGAACCTCGGCTCAGATCTGCGTCTGCAAGTGCCCGCCGTCCCGGAGAGGCCAGCGGGTTCCCAGAACGGCTTTTCATTTGCCTTTTCCCTTTGGCAACAACCTCAGGGATGCTGCTGGCTGTCACGCTCCAGCGTCAGCGGGTAGGGAGGCCGCGTTTCCCGTCCACGGGCCATGCCTGCTGAGGGCCTTCGGACGGAACGGCCACCTGTCAGCCATCGCTCTGGGACGCGGAAGGGCCCGAGGACATGGCCTCCCTGTGAGACGGCATCACGGGCTGAGAGCGCCGCTCTGCTTGCTACAACCAGTTACACGTGCAGCTCCTAGAGCAGTGATGGCGAACCTTCTGGGCTCGGCGTGTCAGCATTTTGAAAAACCCTAACTTAACTCTGGTGCCATGTCACATGTAGAAATTTTTTGATATTTGCAACCATAGTACAACAAAGATTTATATTTTTGATATTTATTTTATACATTTAAATGCCATTTAAAAAAGAAAAATCAACCAAAAAAATGAGTTCGAGTGTCACCTCTGACACGCGTGTCATAGGTTTGCCATCACTGGCCTAGAGCATTCCTTAGTCCTGTTTGGGGAAACCCAAGCCTCTCCGTTTAGAAAACAAAGCCCACGACGCTGGGTCAGGGGAAAGCCTGGTCTGACATGATCACAGGTGACCCCGCAGGGTCCGCCCGGGAGTGCGGCCGGCGGCCCGCTGCTCACCTGGAACGTGGTGAGCTGGTGCATCAGGGCGTTCCGGATCGTCTGGATCTGAGACGAGATGACGGACAGCACAGAAGCGTCGATCCGGTTAAACTCGTCGAAGCAGCCCCAGGCCCCACACTGAGCAAGGCCGGAGAAGATCTTCCCGACGGCCTGGAGGGGACAAGGTCAGGACAAGGTCAGGACAAGGGTGTTCATCTCTAACGTGGCGGGTGGCACACAATGGGCACCGCTTCTCCATTACCGCGGACACTCCCCAGAGGGCCCGGGAAGCAGCCAGCTGGCCACCCCCCTCATGGATCTTTCTGGCAAGACTTGCGAGGCCCCTCGCGGCCAGCCCCCACTCCCAGGACTTGACAAACTAGGAACTGGATGGGAAACTCCAGGTTTCTGGAGTGTTCTTCAAACACTGGAAAATCTAGCAGCACTGGGTCCACTTCTCCAAGTGGCTACAAGGAACCAGAGCTGGATGGTGGCCCCTTAGACTGAGCTGTGCTCAGCAGCCACAGTCCCCACCCTGCTCTACTGCCTGCCAGCTGCAGTCATCAGCATCTACCTGCCTCTGCTGGGCACTGAAGTCCAAGACACTGCTCCACCTGCTGCTGACAAAGCGGAGCCTGCCGGCCCCGAGGCCGCGGCAGCACAGGTTTTCTCCGCGCCCCCCGCTGTCCCCACGCCATGGCATGGCAGTGCGTGGGCTGAGCGCCTTCCCGCGGTGCCCACCCTCCCTCTCTATCCAACGAGATGGCACCGGAAGGGGCGCCACGGCCTTACTTTGTAGTCCATGCCTTCGCCGCAGTTGGTTACAACACAGAGCAAGCCCAGGGCTTTGGCCAGGTCCTTGGTGGTCTCGGTTTTGCCAGTCCCTGCGGGGCCAGCAGGGGCTCCGCCCAGATACATGGACAGCGCCTGTTAGAAGCCAAATGCAGACACGTGCTGTCTGACTCGTGCGAGGAAACACATCGTGTCCCCATCCAGCACCGCAGTCTGAGACGCAGGGGGTGGCAGGTCCTTGCTCCCGCAGATGCGAGGAAGGACCTGTCTCTGCTCCGCTGGCTCCGAGCACCCCTGACCGTGGCTGCGTCAGTCAGTCCCTGCCTCCGCCTCCACATCCTCCTCCCGCCTCGCCGTGCCCTCCCCGCGTCTCACCAGGACACCAGGCACTGGGTTGGGCCCTAACCCAGGAGGTTCTCCTCCCGGCCCTTTAGCACTGAATCTGCACGGACCCTATTTCTAAGTAAGGCCGCATTCTGAGGCTCCGACGGACAGGAATCCTAGGGAAGACACTGTGCAGCCCAGGACTCGCTCACAATCACCACGGCCACGCGTCGGAAAAACACAGGCCCACACGCAACCACAACCACAGGAGCCCGCCCGCCGGCAGCCGGTCACCTGCGTCAGCGTCAGGTAAATGCGGTCGGTGAGGGGCGTGATGACCAGCCGCCCGTTGAGCCCCATGTACTCGTAGCCGTAGCCGAAGGTGCCCGTGCACTGTCGGATGTTCAGCTCGTCCGGCTCTCGGTCCCAGTAAAAGCGCAGCTGACTTTCCCACTCGAACTCCTGGGCATCGAGGATGCTGGGAGGCGAGACGGGGCGGGTGAGCGGAGAGGGCGGCGGAGGTGGCGGAGGGAAGGCGGACACCACGGGGGCAGGAGAGACGGTGAGAGGGCCGAGGAGGAAAGGCCACGTGGGAGACGCCGGGGCCTACCTGCCCCGGATGAAAGAGTCCACGATGTCGCGGGCGTGCACGTCGATGATGAGCTCGGTGTTGTACTTCTTGCGGTCGTTCTTGCCCAGCTGCAGGGTGATGCGCGTGACCAGCTCGTCGATCTGCCGGTGCATCTTCCGGCCGAAGCTCTTCATGGCGTGCTTCTCGCCCGCCTGCACCTGGTGGAAGACGTCCTCCACCTCCCAGGTCCACCACACCTGGCAGGCGGCCAGCACCACCATGCCCTGGTACAGCAGCATCCAGTCCACCCTGAGGGAGAGCACGCCTCGCTCAGGCCGCGGCCTGCGGGTGCCCAGCACAGGCCCCGAGGACGTTCTCTCTCAAAGAGAAAGATTCAGGCAAGTGCACGGTGGCAAAGCTCGCCTGGCAAGACAGGAAGCCCGGCCGGCGTGGCTCATGAACCAGGAGGTCACGGTTCAATTCCCACTCAGGGCACAGGCCCGGGTTGTGGGCTTCATCCCCAGTGAGGGGCGTGCAGGAGGCCGTGATTCTCTCTCATCATTGATGTTTCTATCTCTTTCTCCCTCTCCCTTCCTCTCTGAAATAGAAATACATTTTTTAAAAATAAAAAGAAATAAATAGAAATAAATAAATAAATAAATAAAAAGACGGGAAAATGCCAGGCCAACACAGGCATGCCAAGGTGGGGGGTGGGGGACTTTGGGTGCAGAAAGGGGTGGTGTGGGCATTTCTCAATTAATCAGGCTGCATCCCCTTCTTGTCCGCCAGCCAAGCACCGGGACACAGCGCCGCCCTGGTGGAGGGCAGTGATGATGCAGATGAAACCAACACAGGCTTAAAATTCCTGCAACTGGGAGCGTGAAAGACTTCCCAGTCACTGCTCCGGAAGGGGGTGATGCCTGTCTAGGTCAGCTTTCTTTAAAAATATATATTTTTATTGATTTCAGAGAGGAAGGGAGAGGGAGAGAGAGAGAGAGATATCAGTGAGAATCATTAATCAGCACGCCCCTGACTGGGGACAAAGCCTGCAACCTGGGCATGTGCCCTTGACCAGAATCGAACCTGGGACCCTTCAGTGCATAGGCCCTAACCGGCCAGGGCTAGGTCAGCTTTCGAATGTCGTCTCGAACAGTGCTGAGCCCAGAGCCAGGGCCCACAGAGTAACAGCTGAACAGATAGAGCCATCATGCACGAGGCCCCTCCTATCCGCTCCCAGGAGCTAACCGTCCTGTGGTCGGGAATTTTGCAACGTCAGTCAATCTGCCCCAAGCCCTTCAGGTGACTCCATCGTGACTCTCAATGTGATGAAGGAACACGTGTTCGCCGCGCGGCCTTACCTGCTCCTGTCTTCACAGTATCTAAAAATAGCCTCTTTGGTGATCAGCCGGTTGGTTCTGCGCATCTCGTTCAAAACGGCGGTCATCCAGTCCTCCACGCGGCCCTCGGCCCGCACGGTCTTGCGGAACTCCATGACCTCGCCTTCTGCGGAGATCATGGCGGACACCAGCTTCTCCCCGCTGTCCCCGTCCTGGAACCGCAGCGCCGCTATGTTGTCATACATCTGCAACACAACGGAGACCCCGTGACACCGGCGCCGAGCTCTGCAGCCAAGAGCAGCCTGGAGGGGCACACGAAACGCATGACCCTTCGCCCAAGCGTCCGTTCACAGGACAAATACACATACACGGGTCCTTCCGTTGGTCCTGCGCTGTGCAAAGGTCTGCGGTAAAAGAAAGAGCCCTAGCCAGCTGCTCCGTGGCTAGAGCCCAGACTGGAGGGCACAGGTCTGATTCCCAGTCAAAGGCATATAGCTCCGTCGCAGGCTTGATCCCCAGCCCAGATCAGGGCATATGTGGGAGGCAACCAATCGCTGTGTCTCTCACATCGATTTTCTCTCCCTCTCTCTCTCTCCCCCTTCTCCCTCCTTCCACTCTCTCTAAAAAATGAGTGGGAACATATTCTCAGCTGAGGAGTAAGAAAACAAAGAAAGAAAGAGGAGACAGACTCCCTCGCCACATCTGAGATTCTGGAGTAGGTGCTGGTATGGAGAGATATGCAGACACACGTGCGAGCTGAACACAGGAGAGGGAAGAGCCAGGGGCTGAAGAATGAGACCTGACTGGGTCACGTGGGCAGCTGCTTCTCCTCCCTCAGCCGAACAAGCACAGCAACGGCCCTGACAAGACGAGGCCGGAAGACCACACAGACCCCGTGCGAGAGGCCGGCACATCACCCGTGTTCGCTGGCTACCGCCGCTGCCACTCATCGGAACCACCAAGTCCCCGGGAAAATGAGCCTTTTAGGGCCCAACACATACAACCAGCAGCGTTTCATCTTAAACCTCTGGGCGGAACTACAATGTGAAGAGAACTCGGGGGAAACAAACCGCAGGACAGAGCCCACGCAGGGCCCCCCACCCCCACCCCCGGAGCCTGGCCGACCTTGATCATGTGCTCCTGGACGCAGAGCGGGTCGCTGCTGCCCAGGATGCTGAGCAGCTCGTCGTCGGAGATGAAGAAGAAGCGGGGGAAGGCGTTGCGCTTGGAGTCCAGGTAGTCGTTCAGGCTCTTCTGGCACTTCTCCAGGCCCTCGCTGATGTGCTGCAGGTCCGAGAGGCGGTTCTGGGCCTCGCAGCATCGCTTGATCACGGGGTCTTTCAAGGTCTCGCCCATGATCTGCACCAGGTCAAGAGGACAGAGGTCAGGCACTTGCCTGCGCCCGGGCTCGACGCACCCCAGGAACCAGTCTCTGGGGAGGCCAGTTGTCACGGGCAGTTTCCCTTCGACAACCTCCTCCCAGGTGTTCATCCTGAATGTGGGGAAGCATTGGCACGGCCTGCGAGTTACCGACGAACCCCAAGAACCCGGTGCCCACAGAATGTCCAGTCACTAGACAATCAGAGAATGTCAAGCCACGCCCACGGGTCAAGGCATTAAAATACTTCCTCGGTTTCGTGGTATGAAACACATTTCTCCGTATGATATGTCCTAAATTATGGCATAAAATTACACAAAGTGTCATCTGTAATTGCTTCTTAAACCTATCTACAGAGAAGAGACTTTTTTTAACATGACATAAAGTGGCCACGTTCAGGGGATGGGACTATGGGAAGAACTGTGGAAGATACATCTGTTCTACATTTTCCAGCTGTTTTTTTTTGAAAGCAAGTGTTACTTTTATAATAAAAAATAAATAAATACTAAGAAGAGCCATCTGCCAGCAGCTACAGCTCCAACAGGAGCTGTCACAGGGCAGATGAAGGTCACCCACAACGACAGAAGGAGTTCAGAAGCTGTGAGCAGTCGGGACGCCACGTGGAAGTGCACGGGCGCCTCGAGCCCCTCCTGCCACTTGCCCTTTTAAACACTTTGTCGATGTTGTCGAACTTCTTCGCCTCCTCCGGCAGCTGCGAGCGGATGTCTCCTCCGATGAAGATGCTCTCCAGGTACATCCACTTCCTCTGCACCAGCATCCAGATCTGCGGGCACAACGTGACCGTGGCCCGGGCGCCCCGCCGCCAGGTCATGGGGCACCCCCCCCCCAGCCTGGGAGTTTTACGGGCTGTGAATGCCGTGTCCATGAGAACATTTAACCAGCAAAGGAAGCATCCGGCTGCACCCCACCCTCAGTGGTGGGGCCCGCTCCCCGCCGGCTCCCCGCCCTCCTGCGGCCTCACCTCGATGACCTCGCCGATCAGCGAGAGCGTCTTCTCCCACTTGTGCACCGTCTGCAGGAAGGGCCCCACGAAGCGGCTGCCCGAGATGCTCTGCAGGTTGAACGTGTTGTCGTCGAGGCACTGGATGATCTCGTCCACGGACCCCAAGATGTAGCCGCGCTCCTGGGTGCCCTTGAAGTACTTGACCACAGAGAACTTCATGTTCTCCCACGTGTCCAGGATCTCCTTCACGGCCTGCCGGGAGCACGGGGGGCCGGGGCGGCTCGGCCCGGAAGCGGAAAGTAAACAACAGGACCCAACCCACCGCAGCTCCCCGGCCTGCCCGCAGTCCCCCCTCAGCCCGGGGTCTGGGACGGTTTCAGAGTAAGCAGAGGCGTGTCATGGAGATGCCGGCATCTCTGGCGAGGACTCCATGAAGGTGAGCACGTTCCCACGTGGCCGACGCTCTAGTTCTGGCGCAAGCAGCTCCCCAGACGCGGGACCAGCGTGTGCTCTCGCTGTGTGGCGTGTGGCGGCGACTCCTCCCTCCCCGTCGGGGCCTCCCCGGAAGCAGCCCTACCTTCTCGATGGCGATCTCCTTGATGGCTGCCGTGACGATCTCGTTGAGCACGTCCGCGTGCTTGTCAAGCTCCATGGCAAACATGTTCTCCAAGGTGAAGGTCTCGGTCATCTCGAAATACACGCCCGTCTTTTCCATGAGCTCTTTCCAGTGCCTGGAATGCACGGACAGCATGCTCTGCTGGCCGCCCGGCCGTGGTGCCGGGTTTCCTTCCTCCCCCCGAGGTCCCAGGACATCCCCGGTGCGCGCTGCTGGGGACGGGAATCTGAAACACGAGGACGTCGCTGGGACTGCTCTCCAAAGCCCCGTGGGCGGCCAGAAAATGAGTTATTTATGCGGGTCACGTGTTTCTCTGCATGGTGCTGACCTCGCCCCCTGGCTATTTAAAAAAAAACAAAAAACCTTTGGGTGAAGAGAGTGCAAATGACACTACACCTGACAGGGTGGCTTTCTGTTTGAAACGGGAGAAACCTTGTGGCCGATCACCTTATAGAAAGTTCACATGAAAACAACGTTACAGAATTACGACTCGCCCCTGTCTGCCGGCATCGCTGAGCCCTTGCTCTTGGCCATCACATCTCAGCAGAGACAACCTGTCTGTGTTCCCAGAGGCCACCAGAGGCCCGAACAAACCTGTCCCGGAGCGCCTCATGCTTCAGGTCCAGCAGCAGGGGGATCGAGTCCTTGAAGGCCTTCATTTTCGCTTCCAGGTGGAAGGCCACGGCCAGGTTGCGGACCATCCGCGGGAACTTGCGCAGGGAGCGCAGGAAGCCCTCGATGCCCTCCTGCAGGAACTGCACGTTCAGGTTGATCCAGAGCGTCTGGGACCACTCTTCCTTCGCCACCTGGGAATGGACGGAACGGCCATCAGCGACCCCCCTGGAAACACGAAGGCAGCGTGACCTGACCTGGAATCCAACCGTGACCTCTTGGTGCCTGGGTCAAAACTCAGCCACTGAGCCACCCCGGCCAGGCCATTTTAGCCACTTGTAACTGAGCAAGTCAGTGACATCAAGAACATGCACATGTTGTGCAAGCATCCCCACTATCTAGTTCCAGAACTTTCTCATCACCCCAAAGGGAAACCCCGTCAGCAGTCCCCTCGTGCGTCTGCCCGAGAGCCGATCGAGAGCGTCTATGACACCGGCCCAGGCCCATCAGGGTGGGGGCCTCCGTGCGCGGGCCTAGCGAGTCCTGCGCTCCCCTCGGGGCGCGTCGGGGGCGCTCACTTTCAGCTCCTCGTAGAGCTCGTAGATCATCCGCAGCCCAGTCATCTCCTTCTGCACCTTCAGCAGCTCTGGGTACATGGTGATCGGGAGGTCGAAGAGCTTCTCCGCGTTGGCCAGCTCCTGGCGGTTCCTTTCATGCCTCACCAGCTCCCTCTCAAAGCTGCCTAAGAGGTCCATGCCTGGTGAGGGAGTCACGGGGGGGGGAGGGGGGGGGACAGAGAACGTTAGGCTGCAGACCAGAGGAGCAGTCACGCACAGGAGCGGTCACGCACAGGGCACGCACACATCGCCTCACCACGTGCCACCAGGGACGACCCATTTGAAACCACCAGACGTCATCTCGCCTTGATTCTAACTAACACGAGGGGCCACTTTCACCGTCAAGTCCCTCCAATTGGAAATCTGTCTGCTTGGCCTGCTCCCTCCTCTCGGGGTCCCAGCCTGGCAGCCAGAACAGTGGGGTCAGGCAGTTAGGACCTGGGCCCCAGGCATCAGTGGTTTTCCCAGATTCCCCGGGGGAACCCAGGGTACGGGCACGGCTAACAGCCACGTCTCCCCCGAGCACTGCCAAGTAAAGCCACCTCAACTCACGTACCTGGGAAGACCAACGAGACTACCCTTACCGCTATCAAGATCTTCACCCACCGAGCCAGGGCCTTCAGAATAAAACCGTTTCGCAAAGTCCTCCATCTGCTGCCTGAAGTTCATTATCTCGCTTCGAGTGATCTGGGGGAAGCAGGGCGGCAGTCACTCGGCCCCGCGGAGGCCCGCACGCTCTGGCCTCGGGAAGCGCCCACGCCACGGTACCTCCGTGAAGGTTCTCTTGATGCTGCCAAGAGCGTGCTCCACGTTCACCGAGTCGGTGAACAGGTCCTGCCACATGCTCTCGATCTTGTCAACCAGCTCTTTCTCCGCATTGGTGGGCTGATAGAATAAGAAGAAGAAGAATTAAAATAAAACACAGAACAAGCAATAAATGGTCAGCATCTGGAAGGGAAATGTGTGGTCAGAGCTACTACCCGGGGACTTTAAGTGACTTGAACCAACAACACAGCTGGTTGAATCAAAGTTATAGTTCTATTAAAAATTATATTTTTGTAGTTAAAATAAATTCAGGGTAATTTTTAAAAATAAATAGTTGACATAGAAGGAGAGACAGATAACTTAGAGAGATAAGAGCTTCGTAAACTGAAAACCAGCTTCAGATCAACATAATCTCTGATTAAAACGTGGCCCTGCCTCGATAATGCATCCAGTTGTGCTGTCTGTCAGAGGGAAAACACGCCCCCTGAGACCACGCCCCCTGAGGCCCTGGCATGCGGCCTCCAGCGCTCTCTGCGATCTGTCGGACAGCACAATGTCCAGAACGTGCTCAGAAATCACAGGAGACGAGGACACGCGTGACTGGCTGAGACCAAGGGCGGCAGGGCAGTCGGAGAGACCACCCGAGGTTAGGACACGGGGTTCAAACATTTCACTTGACAGAGTGAAGAAAGCAAAAGGCAAAACGGAGACTTTCTATTGTAATTATAAAATGTAAACTGTGCCTAGTGCGTATCTCTCTGATGTAAATTTTGCTACTGCTCCGGGAAGGCATGCGAAGCCGTCAAGCAAGTAAATGCTGACGTCATTGGAGCCAGGCGAGACCAAGAAACAGGCTCTGAACTGAGTAACTGCGGGGTGGGCCCTCCATTTAAATGTTGCCACGTCAAGGCACACACGAATCTACGGCAGCGCGGACGGGAGTCTCTGCAGAGGCCTCAGAGGCCGACCGGGTCTCGCTCACGTGCAGGTTGTACATCGCCATGGTGCGGTACCGCTCCTGGACGTCCCTGTACCTCAGCTCCATGACCAGGGATTTGCTCCTCACTTCCGCAATCGTCGCGAGGACAAACTTGAGATCCTCCAGGGTCCCGGGGCTCTTCTTCAGGTTCTTGGCCAGGCTCTGGAAGAGAAAGTGCGGCCCTCGCCGCTCTGGCTCAGTGGGTAGAGCGTCGGCCCGAGGACTAAAGGGTGCCGGGTTCGATGCCGCTCAAGGGCACGTAACTCGGATGGAGGCTTGCTCCCTGCACGTGGGAGGCAACCGATCGATGTCTGTCTCTCACATCGATGTTTCTCTCCCCCCCCCCCATCCCTGCATCCCTTCCACTCTCTCTAAAAATCAATGGAAAAAATATCCTTAGGTGAAAATGAACAAAAAAAGAAAAGCAAGTTTGCAGGACACTAAACACACAGGGGAAACGGTGCCAACGAGCCTGACTGTCATGGAGGCGCTTGGTGACCCCGCGCTCTACCTCCATCTCCTCGTGGAGGCTGTGCAGCTCCTCCCGGGCCGACTCGTTGAGCAGCTTCCCGAGCGACATCACCCAGGCCTTGGCGCTCTCCTGCACCGTGTGCGCCAGCGGCCCCAGCTGCAGCCGCACGCAGTGCTCCTCCTTGACCAAGGGCTGGCGCATCACCTCCTGGGAGATCTTCGTGTAGAACTGTAGCTTCTCGTCGTAGGACACACACGGGGGCTTCTTGGCGGCGAATTTCTCCATCACGATGGCTTTGTCCAGCTTCCAGAGGGGCCGGTACTTCTTCCACTTCTGCAGGTACTTTGTGAGGTTGACCAGAATCCTGTGGACATTCTGGGGGATCATGAGGGCCTGCTCGATGATCTGGGGGTTCAGGGAGATGTCGTTGTAGAAGGTGATAGTCACGACTTCCTCCTCCTCCCCCTTCTGCGGGGGGCATTCTATGCAGCTGCCATTCATCCAGCGAACAAAGTTCTGGCAAAATAAGAATAAGGGGGAGAGGCGGTACTTCAGGATCAATTTTGCTGCCTGCACATCTATTAGTCAACAGTAGTAATTCTTGCTCGCAATGAAAATCACTTTATCCTTAATAAATTGTGCTCAGTTGCAAAAAGGACCACCATTCTTGGTTCCTCCCACCACCTTCCCACCCAGACCAGCCTGCGACTTGACCACCAAGAGGGCTGGAGGGCTATGCACGTTCCCAGCAAGCACTCCAGTAGCTGGGCAGCTCCCACTCCCGAGCTCTTGAATGAGACTGAGCTATTGCACTAGATCAGCGGTTCTCAACCTATGGGTAGCGGCCCCTTTGGGGGTCGAACAACCCTTTCACAGGGGTCGCCTAAGACCATCAGAAAACACATCTATAATTACATATTGTTTTTGTGATTAATCACTATGCTTTATGTTCACTTTGTAACAATGAAATTGGGGGTCACCACAACATGAGGAACTGTATTAAAGGGTCGCGGCATTAGGAAGGTTGAGAACCACTGCACTAGATGGTGATAAGCCACCCAATGGAGAGCCAGGGGTTCCAGCCAATCAGCAGCGTGTGAGTGAGAACAGGCCAGAGAGAAAGAGAACTCAGCCCAACCCAGCCTGCGGAAGCCTGAGCTAAATAAACAGCTATCATGTTAGACTGGCAGTGGCTTGTTGTGCAAAAAAGCTAACTTTTTAAATAACAATGGCCATCCACTTTCTATAGGACGGATGAACAAAACATTAGTTTTCTTATTGACAAGTAAAGAAACACAAAGTCAGGTAAACCGACCCCCTAGTGTCCCAGAAAAATCTGTTCATTTGTTGGCTTGCTTTTGTTAATTCTCACCTGAGACTATTTTTCCATTGATTTTTAGAGAGAGTGGGAGGGAGGGGGAGAGAGAGAGAGAGAGAGAGAGAGAGAAACATTGATGTGAGAGAGACACATCAATGAGCTGCCTCCTACACGCGCCCAGGACCACAGCCAGGGAAGCAAGCCTACAATTGAGGGACATGGCCTTGACCGGATCGAACCTGGGACGCTTCAGTCTGCAGGCCGACACTCCATCCCCTGAGCCACACCGGCCAGGGCCAACTCTGTTCATCTGAAGTGTCTCTGCTTCACCATCAAGGTTCCCTCACACTCTATTTATTGATTTATTTTGTATGTTTTTATTGATTTTAGAGGAAGAGGAAGGGAGAGGGATAGAAAGAGAAAAGCAATGAGAAACATTGATCAGCTGCCTCCTGCACACCCCCTACTGGGGGTTTGAACTCGCCACCCAGGCATGTGCCCTGATGGGGAATCGAACCGGTGACCTCTCGGTTCATGGTGGACGCTTAACCACTGAGCCACACGCCCGGGTCCTCCTGCTTCTCTTGATGAAGGATGGTCCCTCACAGCAAACCAGGGTGCGTCCCACCGAGCGCTGTGCGGCGGGAGCAACCACCAAGCTGCTGCCACTAACATGCTGACGCGGCGCTGAGCGCTCCGGTGGCCCCGTGCCCAGCTCCCTCCACGTGGCCCGGGGCTGAGCCTCCCACAACTCGGGCGGTGGCTGTGCTGCCACTTCCTTCGGGAGGAGGCCACAAAGTCCTAGTCGGACTCGGGCTCACATCGCTTCCAGTAACGACAGGACTCCTGGAGCCCAGAGACGTGCGGATAAGCCATACTGTTACTTAGTCATGCGTGCCCGCTTGCGGGGTGGCGAGGGGCGTTGTATTAAAACCACAGAACTGGTCACGATTGTGCAGAGAGCAGAGGAAGGAGAGAAGAAAAGGGGGCCCAGATGGAGCCTTCCGGATGCTCCACACTCTAGAGTCCACAAGGGGGGGCGCCAGGAAGAGACCAGAAGGGTCTGGACAAAGACCAGGGTGGGGCCTGAGTGCTCGCCCCCCCGGGACTCGCCGCGGCAGGCGGGCCCACCCGAGACACGCGCCCCACTCACCCTGGTGACCTCCACGCAGTTTCGGGCGCAGTGGACGCACATTTTGTCGATCTCGCTGGCGTTGGGGTGGAGGATGATCTCGGGGGCCGTCAGGATGGTCTCCGTTTGGAACAAAGGGGCGTTGCCCAGGATCAAGGAGTTAAAGGCCTGCAGATTCCTAAGGGGGTTGATAAAAAATAAAAAATAAAGACTCAGAACTCGCCAGAGTAAATACATCCAACACTCAAAGTGACTCGAGCACAGAAGCCACAGGGAAAGGCTGCAGGAAAGGACGCCTTCTCGGGCGACAGGGACGGCTGGGCTGAGTTGGGTGATATCGCCGGTCTTCCTGGCCTACATGTTACATGTTACACGTTACGAGTTACAGCGGGGATTCACTCAGGACCTGCGGCCCGCCCCCTTCGCTGTTCCCAGAGGCAAATGATCCCCATCCCCACCGTCTTCAGCACAGGCAGCGGGAGGGCTCACTTGAGGATGAGCTTGGTCAGGACCTCGTAGACCCGCTTCTCCCAGTACTCGTAGTAGGTGGCCAGCTTGGGCGCCTTGCCCGTGTTGGTGTGGATGACCAGGCCCTCGACCTTGGTCAGCAGGGGCCCGATGGCGAGGTACCACCGGACCATGTAGTCCACGTCCTTGGTCCTCTCCCGGTCAATGTGCTCGAAGAACTCCTTCACGCCTGTGGGGAGCCAGTCAGTTCCTCACGGACCCCGGGGGGACGGGGTCTCAGAGAGCCATCCACCCAGCAGCTGTCTCTCTTGGAAACGACAAAAGCAGCCTTAACCTTGACCCAAAGCAGAAAGCAAGTCAACACCGGACGTCAGGTGGGCCAGACCCTACGCCACACTAAGTGGCAGCATGGCACGTCCACGTGACGTCGGCGCGCAGCAGGCGCTGTCACGCCTGTGGGTAAGCCTGCTTTTCTAGGGCGGCTTGTTGAGCAAGTACATGTGAGCCCATAAGAATTCCCCATGATCCTTTCAGGTACGTGGGTGAGATTGCTAGAATGGTTTTATTCTATTCATGGAATAAATGTGTGTGCGTGCACGTGCGTGTGCATGCGTGTGTGTGCATGTGTGCGCGTGTGTGCGTGTGCAAGTGCACGCGCGACCAGGACGGTGCTTGCACCCCTGCCACCATCGAGGGAACAGGCAGCGGGCCCACCTGCCACCATCGAGGGAACAGGCAGCGGGCCCACCTGGGAGGTCCTCCTCGGTCTTGGGTGCCGGGTACTTGAAGAGGTTGATGGACTCGATCAGCGTGAGCCTGGAGGCAATGTCGTCCGCGTTCTTATGAATCTGGTGGACGAGGGACTCGAACTTCCCGATGGCCTGCTTGCACCGCGTTATGTAGTCAGCAATGCTTTGGGAGAAAGAGAGACAACGCACAGGAGTGAGAACAGGCTAGAGGCTGCCAGCGGGGAGGAGGTCGGGCTGGGAGGGGAGGCGTGGCTTTCAGGGGGCACGCGGGGAGCCCTGTGGGTGGGGACAGCCTGTGTCCTGGCTGCGATGAGTGAGAAGTTAGTGTTCGGGGGACCAGGTGAGGGAACACGGGATCTCCCCGAGCGCATTCTTACAGCGGCGTGCGAACCCATCATCGTTTCAAAATGGAAATGTTAATTTTAGAAAGTGAAGCGGTCCCTGTTGCTGGAGGAGAGAGCTGTGGGTCAGCGGAATGTGCAAACAGCACCCACCTCCTCCCCACTCCCAACTGAGGCCCCGGATGAAGTCATACTCCCCACGGGCCTGCAACCACATGTGTCCACACCCAGAAACCAGATCCCACCCAAAGCGGAACGCCACAGGCGGGAGGCGTCACCTAGCGAGTTCCAGTTCAGCCTCTTGAATCCAGACCGGAACACGCGGAGCAGCTCCTGCGAGTGGTCGTCGAGCAGGGAAGACTCGGCGTCGTTCAGCGTCCTGACCAGCATGTGGTAGTGGTCCAGCATGTGCTGGATGCCCTCCGTGTACCTGCGAGCCGGAGAGACAGAGACGGGCACGGGAGGCGAGGGCAAGGGGCGCGTAAGGCCATGAGCAGAGTCATGCCCTGGCTACCAAGATGGTCACAAGAGACCGAACCGGCCTGAAACTCTGATGGAGAGATTTGCAGAATCGCAAAACGATGCCCCTCTTCCCACTAACTTTCTTTCTCTTTGGAACATTTTGGTTACTTCTCATTCACAATGTTATTTATGTTCACATGAAATGGTTGTTATTTTTAGATAAATGAGTAAAAACGTATTTTGGACACTGCTTTGTTTTCACTTCTGCTGGTAAATATTGGTCATTGTAAGATCCACAAAATGCAAGCTCTGGGGCAGGGGCTCTGCGTGATTTCAGGTGGGGGCAGCCCGAGACCAGAGCCTCGCTGCCGCCTGGAGACTCGCGGTACCTGAGGAATTTGTCCTCCTGGAGGGCCACGTTCCTTGCTAATTCGGGGACGGGAAATCCCAGCTGCTCCAGGTACTTGGTTTCGTTAATAATCTCCCTGAGAGCGAACGGGAAATTGATTGCAAACGTGATGCCCCTGTCGGAGGTCTCGGCGGCATCCTCGGGGTTGGCAGTAATCTGTGGAGAGACGTGCCTGCCGTCAGCACGGGAGGACCGTCGGGAAGCGGTCAGATCGACACCACCCGAGCGACGCTGGCTGGAACCAGCGCGACTACACGATTTTATTTGGTGAACAGAGTTTTCATGAATTCCATTTAGCCACCCGACTCGAAACTTGGGCAACTGCATCTAAAATTCCCTGATTCTCTCTCCCCTCGGAAACGTGGAGAAGCTGATGCTGTGAGACCGTGGGCTGGATGAGGAGCGGCGGCCTGGCAGGCCCCGGCCTCGTCACTCACCGCGGTCCTCCTTCAGGACTTCAGGCACCAAAGACCTCAGCCCGCCAGGCCCGGCCCCCCCTCGCGGCCAGAAGGCAGGTACCGAGACTTGCTACGTGGCAGCCCCAAAGAGGAAGGACAGGACGAATCCCGAGAAGCGCATCTCCCGGCAGGTTTAACGTGGTCCGTGGCCCGCTGTTCCCTACACGGTTCCACGCACACTGTGCGCCACTGGATCCAGCTCGTTTGGACAAATGGAGAAACTGAGGCTGAGTGAAGCCGATCCCGGTGCCTTTCCTGCCTGTGACACGTGCTGTCCCCGCCTCTCCTTCCTGCTTCTCCTCGCCTCCAGCCTTTGTGGAGGTCGGGAGAGCGATGCCCACCCCGCACAGGGCACCGCACCTTCATGAGCAGACTCTTCTTCATGAGCGTCGGCAGCAGCTGCTCTGTCGTGTCCCTCCACAGCTCGTACTTCCGCTCCTCGTAGTCCTTCATCGTCCTGCCCACTTCCAGGTACTTTTGTTTTACCTGTCACAGAACAAGCATTATCCTTCGGTCCTTGGAAATGAATCTCTCTCTCTCTCTCACTAAAAGAAATGGTCTACCCATTCTGCAAAAGGAAGCTGACAGAATGTCACGATGCCGGAGGGCCTGCTGGGGGGGGGGTGTGGCCTGAGCCCCAGGCTGACGAGCAGATATCGGCAGCTGCACTCGGTGCAGCCAGGAACTAAGCGCGGCTTTCACAGTTTAAAATGTGTTTTTAGTGATTCTTAGGGGAGAGAGGGAGCGGGAGAAAGGAGCATCGGGGAGAGGGAGGCCGGGGGGGAGGGGGGGTCCCTGCGCACCTCCTCGCCCCGCTCGCTGTCCAGGATCTCCTGCACCTCCTGGAACCGCAGGATGGTGTGCTTGATGCGGTAGAACAGGGAGCGCTCCCAGTAGATGGCGCCCGCCACCGGGGGGTGGTTCTTGTACAGAGGCGGGTTCTCGTGGTTCTGGACGAAGATTTTATTGATGATGTCGATCTGGAAAGAAGCGCACGCGCTCTGTGAGCGACAGCCCACTGCGTAGCCGAGAACATGCAGCTGGAGACATGCATCTCTCAAGAAGTGAACACAGGGACGCCCTGAAATAGTCTAAAATCGCGTTTTTACTGCTTAACTTACTATTTACTGCTTTCTATGTATTTCCCAGTAATTTTTTCTTGTGAACATATGCAGTGCTCCAAACTGCCTCCCAGCTACAGACTGTGTGCCTCCGTCTGACATTAGAAATCCTGCATCTGCTCTGGACGTGCCCAGGGGCCTGTGACTACGTCACTGGGATTACTGTGAGGACGCACGCATGCACGCAGGGCGCACCGCTACACGAGGGGTAACTTCCCACTGGATAATCCTCACTCAATTCTCCAGCAGCAAAGAGCCGCTGCGCTGTGGGTGCCTATACTAAGCGACACGCTGGCGTGGGGAAGCGCCATGGTCACCCTGAATTTGGGGGGACAGACAGACAGTGTGGCTGGGTTGTTCACACTCCAGCAGCTGCAGGTTTTGTCAATCACCTCTTTACAATACTGCACCAGAATGTCGTTAAACTTCATCATCATTTGCCGGTTGATGGCCTCCCGTGACCGGATGTGCTTGAACTTCAGAAGCATGTCAAATGCTGCTTCGGCCGACCGAAGCGTCTTAAAGGACTCGTCAATAAAATTTTTTGCTTCTTTCTCAATAACCTGCCAAAACAAAACAAAAAAAGTCAAGAAAACATCCCTCATGCCACCGTAATTGTCCTGCAGAAGCAAAGTGGCAAAAGAAGAAAAAAAGGCAGAAAGAAATCTGCCTTGCAAAGGCTCCAAGGTGCTTCGGCGGAGGCTGGCGGCGGCAGGGACGGCGGATGGCGCGTGGTTTTCTGCCCTCCCTCAGCCAGCACACAATGACGGAAGAGACCTTTTTAAATACTAACTTATACGGACAAAGACCTGGGCGAGGGCACAGCAGCAGAGGACCCTTTGGAAGCAGAGAACGTAACTACAGGAGGAGAGAATTTCGCTCAAAGCCAGTAATGGGCCCATACGTTCCCCTCGGAGACCAATGGGAGGCTGAGCATTTGGAGGCACCAGGAAGAGGAGGGGCAAGCGAGGATCCCTCTCCACCCACCCAGGCCGGCTCTGCAGCGAGGCCACGGCACCTGGCTCGATTTCAACGAATCCATCAGGGAGGAGAGGGGACAAAGAAGACTGAGTGCTCACTTTTACCTGACGCTCTTCTGTGTTGTTTCCATTTTTTACAAAAAAGCAGCTATTAACTTTTGTGATTAAAAAGAAAAATACACGTACAAAACTCAACGGATACCTAAGCCGCCCGACAATTGAAAAAGGGAATATGGCGTCCGTGTCCCGGGTCGGCGACGGGCTACTTGCCAGAACCTCGATCTTGAAGTCGTCCATCACGTACTTCCAGTAGTGCGCGGACTGGATGCAGAAAGGGTCGAAGGTCAGGCTCTCCATGGGGGTGACCAGGTTGTCCACCCGGCACAAGACGTCGTCGATGCGTTTGGGGTCCCCCGTCACGGCCTTCAGTTCTGGACCAAATATGTTATAAAATTCCTCCATCACCTGCCCAAGCAACAGAAGACCAGGAGGTCACCTTCACTTTCGCATCGAATGTTCTCGCAACAAATGGACTGTGCGCCAAGCCTGGTCTGAGGACCAGGACCCTGTTCCGCCGGAACCTCCCCGGTCTGAGCCCATGGGTACCAGGCCCGCTGCCTGCAGGACAGGAGCCAGACGCCCTGACCAGCTGACAAAGCTTGTGTGCTCGGGCCCCTCCCTCCCCCTCCTCCCTCGTCCCACGCCTGGTCCCGGAGCCGCTCTGCGGCCCTGCGCCCTGCAGGGGTCACTCAGCATTTCCCAGGACGGCTGCCCTTGGGCAGGAGCTGCTGGGCTCTGGCTTGGCCACGGGCCTCGCCACGGCTGTCCCCTGGGCCACGAGTTCTCCGTGAGCTCTCGGGACTGCTCCCTGTCGGGCAGGGTCAATCCTCAGGCATTGTTTCTTGGACACAGTGTGACCAAACAACGCCACAAGGACTTCACGGCTGAAGGTGTGTTGCTTTAAAAGGAGCCTGATGCCCACTGGTGTGGCCCAGTAGTGGAGCGTCTACCTAGGAACCAGGAGGTCAGGGTTCGATTCCCGGTCAGGGCACAGGCCTGGGTTGTGGGCTCATCCCCAGTGTGGGGCGTGCAGGAGGCAGCCGATCGGTACTTCTCTGTCATCGTTGGTGTTTCTTCTCTCTCCCTCTCCCTTCCTCTCTGAAATCAATAAAAATATACTTTTTTTAAAAAAGGAAAGAAAAGGAAAGGAAATGCGCTCCAGCCTCCCTACCTGCAGGACGTCGTAGAGGTCCTGGCAGATGGTGGCCATGTAGTCCGTCCTCTCGAACAGCCGCTTCCGGTCGAACTCCCAGCGGGCCTCCCGCCCCGAGGCCTCGATCTTGGCCCTGGTGTCGAAGTAGGCCTTCTTCCACATGTCCAGGGAGTTCTTGGCCTCCAGGGTCTTGTGCTGTGCATTCGCCCGGTTTTCTCTGTGGTCAGAGACCGAGATGGGAGGGAAGGCGGAGACGCGGGGGGTCCGAGCCACAGGCCCCGGGGAGCAGGTTTCTCCGGGGAGGCTTCTAACTGAGGAGCAGAGCCGCCCGTCTCACGGCCTCTTTCTCCAAAAGCTCACCGGGCGGGCGGCTGCTCTGTCCCAAGGGCCAGGGTGGGACAGGAGTGCCACGCTGCGGCCCTGAGCTGAGGCAGCGCCCACCCAGCCTGCACGGCCGCGCACCGCGGGAGCTGTCTGAGCGGGAAGGGGCGGTGGCCGTGGGTCCCCAGCCAGAAGTCAGTGGTCCGGGCTGCAACATCGGAGCAAGATGACAGGGCCGGGACTCTGCCCGTGTCCCCGCCGTAGGCTTCTTTTTTAAGAAAGTAAAGGGAGACCTGTGTCTCCTCCAACATTTGATCCTCAGAGGCCGTTCCACCTGAGGGGCCTGGGGTCCGGAACTCAGAATTTCCTGACTCTGTGCCTCGGTCTCTCCAAGGGCAACTGAGTCCTAGTGAACAAATCACCCACACCGCCCCCTAGGGGAGTATTCCTCGGCCATGAGACTGAATGAAGCGCTGGCCCCGCCACGGCCCGGACGGAGCACGGGGAGCGGACACAGAGCACGGAGGACGCAGCGGGCCGGCGTCTTACCTGAACAAGGTGCGCAGGTTCACCACCCTGCAGACGCGCTCGGCGATCTCCCAGGCGATGCGCTCCATGAGGGGGATCATGCGCTCGTCCTTGTTGTAGTGCCGCGAGATGATCCACACCATCCGCAGCGCGCTCATCATGGAGGGGATGGTCTCCAGGACCACGTGGAAGCTGGACCCGTGCGTGATGTTCTGACCGGAAGAGAGCAGAGCAAGCCAGCTTAGCCCGGGGCCACCGGCGTTCCTACAGCACCGTGTGCAGGCCGGGCCGCGCCCACTCGCCCACAGGCACTTGTCATGGAGGGTGAGTTGGACAAACAGAAGGCTTTAGGATAGGTCGGAATGGACTGTGGGGGGAGCTTGGTAATTACAGCAAACAAAGCCATTTACGGACGTGTGTAACATATGGGTGTCATGTGTATCGTATGCACATAAATACACTGAATTTAGTGGCAACAGTGCCACCACATGAATCGAAGCTGCTACTCTACAAGTGACCTCAGCCAGTGTTTTCCAAGCTGTGACCCCCGGCAGGAAGTGAAGTGATTTTGCCAGCACTCGGCACTTGTAGAAAGACACTTATTTCAGTGTGCATCGGAAGAACACAGATAACTGGCCTATCAGGCCCATGACAGCATCGGCATTATCGTTTAAGGTGAGGCTAGATTACACACTCACATACAATCACACACGCACACGCACACACACACTGTGCCGATGGCCCCGCCAGCTGAGCCGCATTTTGCCGTTGTCACCATGTGCACATCAACTAGTTACTAAAGTTCTGTGGCCACCAAAACATATACTATCTTCCTTGCTGATCTGACCAAAAAAAAAGACGGCTACTGTTTTGTCGGCCGCTGTCATGTTTTCCTGGACGACCTGGGAAAAGAGGTCAGTGCCCTAAAGGTCAGGGGCTGCACGTGGCGCCCGGCGGAGCACCGGTGTGGGACGTGGACAGTGACGGTGGGGACGCAGCGCCGTGGATGCGTTCAGTGCACTGCCCCCCGCCTACACGTGGTCAGCACAGCGGCCGCTCCTATGCGCCTCCCGAGGCGGCGTGTAAGAGCCGCGCGGTCACCACGGAAACGGGGCGCACCTTGAAGTGGCGCTCCACGGTGGAGAGGAAGCGCACGTTGTCCGAGGCCTCCATGTGCAGCTTGAAGAGGTCCGTCAGGACCGGCTGCAGGTTGGCCACGAGCAGGGAGTCCGCCTCCTTGATCACCTCCAGGACCTTCCTGACGATCGGGAGCTTGGTCTGCTCGTAGAGGGCGCTCAGAGTCGCGTTCCTTTCCCTCCAGAACTCGATCTCGGCCAGAGGACCATTACCCTGGAGGCACACGGACACACAGCTGCTGTCCTCGTCCGTGTGGAGGGGGCAGTGGGGCTGCTCCCCAAGCTCCACACAGGGCGGATCCGCACGAGGACGTCGGGATGGACACGTGACCCAGGAGGGTCATCCAAGTGGACCTCAGGACTTCACCTGGGATCTAGACAAAGCCACGGGGTCTCTCTCTGGACAATGTGGGGATGCGGGGCCAGACATGCTACAAACCGCTACCCTGAAGGAAGCCAGCCTGAGAGGAAGCCCCCACAGAGAGGAGGGTGCAACGGAGAGATGCCCAGAGAAACAAAGCCAGGCCCTTGATCAAACCATACCTGAAGCCAGCCTGCCTCTGGACTTTTCAGTTATGTGCGGCAACAAATGCTTTCTTACGGAAGCCCGCTGGGTGGTGTGTCCAGTTCTGGGAGGCCCAGCCCTCCTGACTGATACACAGCATCGCCTACATCAACCCAGGAAGCAACCTAGCAGCGCACTGACATCAGAGAGCCCACGACTACCTGGGGGGTGTTTACTTCCATCCTTTAAGGAGGCCCCAAAACAGGGAGGAAAGAGGCTGGACCACTGGGACCCCGGACGCACGGCTCTTCCCCAGGGAGGCCGGCGTGGCCTGTGCAGGGCTCTCTGAGTGCCGCCCGCGGTACCTGCGGCGTCTTCTTCAGCTGGCCCTCCACAGCCACGGTGATCTGGCCCAGCCAGTTGATGACACACTGCTCCAAGCTCTCGATGATTTCCGGGTCAGCAGCCAGGGCGGACACCTCGCCCTCCACGCTGATGCTGGGCATTTCTAACTTGATCTCTCCTGCGAGGAGCAAAGTGCTCGGTCAACACTCTGGGGGACATGATTCCAGACAATGTTCAGGTGGACCTGCTGGCTCTTGTCCCCACAGCCAGCGTAAGGGGATACATCCCCTGCCCTGACCCGCCTGTACTTCATTAGAGCGTAGCTGGAACATCTTAGAGAATGTAGCATTGTTCCTGGGTGAGCCCGATCAAACTGATGTCATCATTGAAGGTGTTCCTGAATTTAAAACCTACTAACTTCCCTTTCAAAACGGAGCCCTAGCCGGTTTGGTTCAGTGGAGAGAGCGTCCGCTGGCGGCCTGAAGGGTCCCAGGTTGGATTCTAGTCAAGGATGTGTCCCTGGGTTGCAGGCTCCCAGCCCTGGTCCGGGGCAGGCAGGAGGCAACCAATCGATGTGTCTCTCTCAAATTGGTGTTTCTCTCTGTCCCTCCCACTCCTTTCCACTCTCTCTAAAAATAAATTTTAAAAATATCCTCAGGTGAGGATAAAAAAAAAAAAGAAGGGCCAATTTCTAAAAAAAACTGACCAACCAGAAGAATACAGCTAACATGTATGAGCTTTCCTTGTGGGCAGAGTCCCGCTGCAGGTGCCCCAGAGCTCGCCAGGTGAGCTTGCCAGGTGAGCGTGCAGATCTGTCCTCTGGACGCCCGAATCTGTGGGACAGGAAGTCGGAATACACACCACCCAACCAACCCTAATGCACACGGATGGGCATGTGAGGTGGGCACTTAGAGAGAACATCGAGGCCTCAGTTTATTTCAGCTCCAGGCCCAGAAAGTCAGCAAAACCAGGTAAGCAACGCCAAGGCTGACCTCAGGACCAGGTGCGGTGAATGGTGGCCCCGCCTGGCGCCGCCAGTCCCCCAGTGGAGACCACAGCCCTGCAGGACACACCTGGGAAGCTGCTGAGTGTGCTACCGAATCCTCCCCCGGGGCCTCCCCTAACATCTCCCCCATAAATGTTCTCTATAAAAAGTGAAACAAAAGTGAACCGCCCAGCCAGCGGGCTCAGTGGTTGAGCATCGACCTATGAACCAGGAGGTCAGGGCACAGGCCCGGGTTGCGGGCTCGATCCCCAGTAGGGGGCGTGCAGGAAGCAGCTGATCCATGATTCTCTCTCATCATTGATGTTTCTATCTCTCTCTCCTTTTTTCCTCTCTGAAATCAGTAAGAACATATTTCAAAAAAAAAAAAAGGATCCTAAGTTAAAACAAAAAAGCTTGTGGACTCTTAAATTACCTTCTTCAAGTAAAGTCATCATGCTTAACTAAAGAAGAGAAATGAAAGCTTACCTTCAAGTTGCTGCACTGTTCTCTGAATATTATTTGCAAATTTCTGGACGTTCATTAAGAACTCGTCCCGTATGAGCTGGACGCTGTGGTACTCCACGGCCTCCCCATGCGCGTTCAGCAGTTCCGTTTCAGTATCGAAAGAGTCCTGCATTTCTCCAGGTGTCAGAGACACGCTCGCCTCCTTGTGCTGATTGAAGGACAAGGCCGGCAAGAAAACCTGAAATGCCGAGTTGATGAAACCAATCACCATACGACCTCCTGTCAATGACGTGTGCTCTCAGAACGCCCCTGGCTTGGAATCGAAGGTACAAATGGAAGGACAGAGCCCAGGACGGGGCCTGGACCCACGAGCTGCCGACTGCCTGCTCGCGGAGGGCCTCCGGTGGCCCCCATCTTACACCGCGGGGCTGTCTTCCCCGCCCGCACTCACCTGATACATAATGTCTCTGAGGAAGTGGAGCATGTTGGCATTTAGGATCCCGTACTCCAGCGTCTCGGGCATGATCTCCATAGCTTCCTTCATGTAGCTGGCCTCTGAGATCGTCTCTGAAAGGGAGCGGGCGCAGGGGGGCTGCGGGGTCGGCAAATGGCTCACACCCCCAGGTCAGGGGCCAGCGCCCTCTGCCCAAGGGGCAACAAAGGAGCGTTCTGGCCACAGACTCAGAGGACACACGGCTGCCGTGGCCCACGGGACGCTGAGACACCCACTGACGCACGGGGTCACGGGCTGGGACACGCAGCGCCAGAGCCCTCCACGGAGGAGCCCATCTGAAGCCGGAAAGAGGAGGACCAACGAGGGATTCCTAGAAGCACCTGCTGGGCTCCCTGCTCTGCGGGTCTCCGCCTCCCATCAATGCCTCCCCAGGCCACTGGCAAAGTCCCTTCTGAATCCTGGGGTTCACATTTGGTGACAGTCTGCCGTGCTGCCCGGGGCTGACCGGATATGAATCACGGCATCCACCAGAGACCAATCAGCACGGCAGACATTCGAATGTCACCTGGACGTCAGATTTCGGTCTAACTAGGGAACATGGAAACACGCCGACAATTCTCAAGGTTCGGTCTCGGTGCGTTCCCCCATCTGTGCAGACGTGCACTGCGCTTTGCCGGACACCTTTCTCTCTAACACACACGCCCGAAATCGTGCACCCTCTCGGGAAGGTACCTTTTGTATTTCTCAGGAAAAACACCACGTTCTGGGCCAGAAACTCCTCGGGGACAGGAGTGCAGAGCACGTGGAGATGCGTCTTGTCCACGATGTGCCTGACGGTCCTCTGAAACGGGGCAGCACCGCCACAGGAGATACGTCCCCCCCGCCGCCCGAGGACCTCACCCCCAGCTCAGCTGCGCTGTCCCCTCCAGGCCCAGCTCTGCTCTCACTCCTGGCAGCAGAGACGCAGCTGCGCCTCAGGCACGAGCCACTCGTGGTTTAAAAAAAAAAAACGACCTGAACCTGACAGAGTTTTCTGGGCCACGCTTTGCAACAGACCAAGACTGAATTCCGTGTTGGGGGTGGGGCATATGCGTACAGCAGTTAAGTGTTATTTCCCTGAGCAGAGGTCAGGCTAATTGCTTGCATGCCAGCTTTAAGCTGCACCCCCGGGACCTGTACGGGAAAGGGTTAACTCAGCAGGCCTCGATGTCCAAACCTTGCACATTGCAAAGTGTTTGGCTCTGGCCCTGAGTGCACCTGGGTGCGAACCTCTCGCTTTTGGAGCATCCACCTGACACCAGTGTCTGCCCACCTGAGGGTAGTTTCTACCAACTCAGTGATGTCCGGTGACAGCCCGTCTGCCTGGGGCCCTGGGTCGCACTGTAGCAGTTTGACCTCTGAGGGTGCTGGGACTGAGCAGCTAAAGTGAGACATGAGGGCACTTCCTGCCTGTGGGACTGACCCCCCGGGACACCAAGGCTCAGGTGAGCCTCCCCGATTTGCAACACTTCACACCTGTTGTCCCAGCAGGCAGCCGCTGGGAGAATTAGCTCTGTCTATGTCCCCACCCCCGGGGCGGGCCAGGGGGAAGCTCGGGCCTGCACTCAGCTGGCCTCTGCCCCCGCCTCCTTTTCCCTTGTTGATTTGAATCTGCCTGCTTTCCCCGAGATAAACTCTATCCGGGGCCACAAAAGCTCTTCTGGGTTCTGGGAGTCATGCAGCGAACCATGCGATCCCAGGGGGTCTCGGGGGCTCCCACCACCACAGAAGGCTGTCATCTCCAGGCCTCGGAGGACCTGTGTCGGTCCCCCAGCCTCCTCGGAAGGCACCGAACTCCCATCACCTCCCGAGGAGACGAGAGGCGCGCGTACCTTGGGGAGCCTGACGAGCCTGGGTTCCGATCGCGCTCTGACCCAGCTGTCATCCTCTGTGCTCACCACGGACTGAAACATGGAGCTGGCTCTCGAATGCCCACTCTTGGCTGCAAAACGTCACTCGGTGAACAAGAGGAGCCGCTCTGAGAACCGGGTTCCCTCCCAGCAGGACCAAACGCGCAAGCTGTCCAGGAGCACACTTCATGCCACAGGCCTGGCATCAAAGGGCCGCACTCGCGCCTTTTACAAATGGCCCCTCTCGTGGCCTCAACTCACACTCTCGTCGGGAGAGTTGTACTGCATTTTGGATGGGGCCTCAATCAGAAATGTAGCATGTGTGTGCGTATATGTGTGTGCCTGCGTGCACGTGTGTACATGTGTGTGTGCGTATGTGTGTCCACGTGTGCCTACGTGCGCGTGTGTACATGCATGTGTATGTGTGTGTTCGTGTGTTTTACTTTGAAAAATGGAGTTTTATCACCAGGACGAGAATCACCGCTGACACGTTAGCATGTGCTCCTTTTTCACTGCAAAACTCGAAACTTGTGGGGGATGCAGAGAAAAGTCGTCTAGACGACGCGGCCTGGTCAGAACCTCCCAGTGGGCAGGTCACGGCACGTGGGCAGCCCCAGGCACAGGACTTCCCAGCTTTGCTGCAAGCAGGCCCAGTCCATCCAAGGCTCACAGGCCTTTGAAACGCCTCCTGTCAGACGGCTCCTCCTACAGCCCCCCCACTTCAGGGAGCACCCCACCTCTACTGTCCTGTCAACCCAACCCCGTCTGTCCCCCACGTCCCTGTCATCCTCCTCCTGTGCCCCCTTAGTCTCAAATGCATAAAAGAAACTGCAACCGCTTACTCTTAGGAGCCCCTGCGACCCGGCTCCCAGGCAAATGTCACCAGTTTGGCCCAAATAGACCCATAAAACTTCTCTGCAGCCCCAGCCCTGGAGGGTGTGTCTCTGTTGGCTGCGCACCGGCCTTTGCACCTTGGGCGCCAGTTTGATTCCCGGGGCACAGGCCTGCGCTGCCCTCGGGCCCCAGTAGGGGGCGTGCAGGAGGCAGCGGATGGCTGTTTCTCTCCGTCTCCTTTCCTCTCTTTAAAATCAGTAAAAACATATTTTTAAAAACACACACACACAAAACCCTCTGCAGGTTTGGACGTTTCTTACATCCACAGGAGAGAAGAGGGAGATGCAGACACAGGCCCACGGGGAGGACGCCATGTGACTAGAGGCCGAAATGCAGGGATGGCCTCCAAGCCAACGGCTGACCACCACCACCCACCGGCCGCTGGGGAGCAGGGGGGTCCCCCGGGAGCCTGGAGGGGGCGCTCGGCCCGGCGGACAGCTCCCCTCGGGCGTGTGGCCTGCAAAAGCCGCCGTGGAGGGAAACTGACAGTGCGGCCGCCCGTCAACCCCGCATGTTCCCTCCCGCGACCTACTCGCCTCGGCGCCACGAGGGTCAACAGCGGAAATGAGTCCCGTCCCGGCAACGACCCTCCCGGTTCTGCCCGCGGAGCGCCCTCCGAACCCCGCACCTGACACTTTGTCCATGGACTCGACCTTCAGAGACTTGGTCTCTCCTTCCTCCTCTTCATGCCCCTCCGAGGCCGACACCTCGTCTTCGCAGCCGGAGAAATGGAAAGAGAAGAATAAGTCATCACTGACTCACGGCCGGACACACCCGGCATCGCAGCTCTCCTTGGAGCGGAGGAGCTGGACCTGGCGGGAGAGCCCAGCCTATGGGAGGGGTTCTCCACCGGAAGTGACCCCGGTTGACCCGGAAGCTGGCCCCGGGCAGTAAGTGGTCCCTCCCCCACCCCTGCCCTTGGGATGGAAAGTTCCGCCCACCGTCCCAGCGCGGGAGGCCTTTGCAAGGGCGCAGCCTGAGACCGAGTGTGATTGAGACCGAGTGTGATTGAGACCACGTGTGATTGAGATCACGTGTGATTGAGACCACGTGTGATTGAGATCACGTGGGTGGGGACCACGACTGATCCCCGCCGAGGCCTGTCGGGAAACTAAGGTCCTGGCGGTCCCCGTTGCGCCAGGGCCCCCAACAAGCCTCCGATGGGAGCCCCCTGGCTCAGTAAACCCGTCGGTCACCAATCCGGCTGCCCTTCTCCATGCACCGGGGCCAGTTTGGGAACCAACACGGTCATACAGAAACATTCGAGGTAGCGAGACAGCCGTAAGCGATGCAAAGGGAAGCCATGCAAGTTCTCCAGCGGGGAGCGCGCTGGCATCCTCCGATCTGGCGACAGTGGAGACGAACCAAAAGGAGGGGAAGGGCGGGGGAGAGTCAGAGGCAGCCCAGAAACAGACCACCACCCAAGGAGGTTTCCGAGCACCTTTGGAGGGCCCAGGAATTAACCGGGGGACCCTCTAAAGTGAGACTGTAATCTGGGTCCATGTAGAAGGGGGACATCCTGCCAGGAGACACTAGGCTACACGTGTGAGTATACACCGCACCGAAAACAGCGGTCACACGTAGTGCAAGTCGAGTCCATTCCTTAGGGTGTTGATGTATATATCTTAAGTACACACTCAGGGTGACTGAAATTTGGCCCATGTTAAACAGTCGATCCTGTTCGTGTATCTTTGTGTCCATATTTTCACTTGGTGATAATGAGAATCTAAAGTCAAGGTCCTGCTACAACGTAACATCCAAGTCCAAAGGTCTCCCTGGGAGAAAGTAAAGAAAGGCTGGAAGAATAGATTCCTCTCTCTGGGTGCCGCTAGCAATTTGTTATGGTGGTTATGTTGTGGTTTTAGCTTTTTCTACAACGCAAAATAAGTGTATTGCCTGCGCGGCATGGCTCAGTGGTTGAGCTTCAACCTATGAACCGGGAGGTCACGGTTCTATTCGAGGTCAGGGCACAGGCCTGGGTTGTGGGCTTGATCCCCAGTGTGGGGCGTGTAGGAGGCAGCCGGTCCATTGTTCTCTCTCATCACTGATGTTTCTAACTCCCTCTTCCTCTCTGAAATCAATAAAAGTATTTTTTTAAATATAAATAAATAAAATCGGCTGCCCTTTTTAAAACCTCGTTTGCACATTACTTTCTTTTTTTAAAATATATTTTATTGATTTTTTTACAGAGAGGAAGAGAGAGGGATAGAGTTAGAAACATCGATCCGCTGCCTCCTGCATACTCCCTGCTGGGGATGTGCCCGCAACCAAGGTACATGCCCTTGACCGGAATCGAACCTGGGACCTTTGAGTCTGCAGGCTGATGCTCTATCCACTGAGCCAAACGGTTAGGGCTGCACATTACTTTCCAATTGCATGTCAGGAACCTCGGAAGATAGCAAGGACCGCTCTTCCGCCCAGGGCACACCTGCCAGGATCAGGGAGAGGAAGGAGGAAGTGTCGCCCCAGCACCCGTGCATGTCTCTGGCCTGTCACTGAGCAGTGGCTCCTATTCTTGAATCTTGACTGCCTGGATGACCTACGTGGTGCGTCATTTAGGCCTCTCTGTGCCGCAGCTTGCTCATCTGTAAAATGGGTTAACAATACTCCCTCCTCACAGCATGAATGAGCTGTTATAAACCGTGGAACCGAACCCGGTGCGGAGGAAGCACTGAATCAACGTTTGCCGCGACTATGCACTCAAGGGCTCCTTTCCCAGCGGGCTGTGCGAGCAGGGGCAGCTCCCCCGCTCCCCCCGGGACCCCAACAGTCCCCGCACTGGGTGGGGGACCACAACCATCTAAGGCCGGCACCCGAGGGAGGCGGAGGTCTGGGTTGGGTGGGCAGCCGCCCGGGGGAGGGAGCGGCGGGCTCACCGGCGTCCACCTCCACCTCCACCTCCTCGGGCAGCACCTTCCGGTAGAAAAAGAGCGTGGCGGCGCCCTCCTCCTCGCTGGTGTGGTTGAGGAAGTGCAGGATGAGGTCCTCGGCCTCGCCATCGTCGCGGACCAGCAGCTCCTCGAAGAGCTGGGGGTCTGTGAGGCCCAAGGCCGTGTACACGCGGTCGCGTATCCACTGCACCCGCAGGTCGTCCATAGCCGCGAAGGGAGCCCAGTGGCCGGCAGGCAGGCAGGCGTCCTTGGCAACGGCGCCCCTGGCAACGGCCGCTCCGGCAACGGCCGCCACCACGTGGACCCGGCCTCAGTCCAGGGTCGCGCCCCGCACCGGTCCCCGCGCTGGCAGAGGCGCGGACCCAGACGCGGGAGAGGGTGGATCCGAGCCCTCCAGAGAAGCCTGGGTGCCCCCAGCCTCCGCGCTGAGGGGTGAGGGGCTCCTCCCGAGACGTGGGTCCACCCTTCCTCCGAGCCCAGCTGGGGGGCAGCACGCACCGGCGTGGGGCCCAAGGGCAGCCCACTGCGGACCTCGGGGGCGCCAAGAGCCTTGTCCTGGGATTCCCTGGGCTGGCGACCTGCCCGCTTTTGTAAGGAAACGGAGGCAAGAGAGGCGACAAGTTCCCAGTATCTCGAGGAGCAGAGGCGAACTTGGAGGCCAGGAAGGCCTCCTCCGACTAAAAAAAAAAAGACCGTACCCTTTTATGTAATGATGTTTACTTTGAATTTATATTAGTTCACACATACACTCCATCCATGCTTTTGTTCCGGCCCTCCGGTCCAGTTTAAGAACCCATTGTGGCCCTCGAGTCAAAAAGTTTGCCCACCCCTGCTCCAGGGCCTATGGGTCACAGGTGGAGGAGCAAATACCTTTGCAGGGAGAGCTTGAAGGGACTAGTTGGGGGGGAAGAGAGGTTATGATCACAAAGGGGCGGCTGTTTTGGCTTTCTAGTCAGCCAGGGAAGAAGAAAGCAGAACGAACGCTCACGGTTTAAAAATATAGATTTATTTTCATTAGTAAAAAGTTCAATACTGAGAGGAAGATGCACGTGTCCTAGTGCATCCGGGCGCCAGGGCTTGTCCACCAGTGTCTGCTCAGCCTGGAGCCCCTCACTTCCAGGCCGACCTCGGCACCTCGCCCTGGTCGGGTTTCCCACTAGGAAGTGAGTGGCGAGTTCTAAGGGCTCCTTACAATCCTCACCCAAAGCTCAGCTCGGTGCCAGCTGCCGGACCGTCCCTGGGACCGCCCTGTGTCCTGGCCTGGAATTGCGATGCCTCAGTCATCTTGCTGGAGAGACCAGGTGGCGTGCCAGCAAACCTGGCTTCAACATTTCAGTCGAGAAATGCAGACTGCAGAGCAGCGGTGGAAGTTACTTTTCGTTTTTGTTTTCCAAACCACACGGACCTAAAACGTCCATAAGAGCTGCCTGTGCTCCAGACGTGCTAGGCCTCCCCAAACTGCTGCAGGTAGAAACGGAGAGCCGGAGGCTGTTACAAAATACCCGTGCGGAAAGGAGGAAGCGGGGCATTCGGCGAGGCGAGTCTTTGCAAAGTCACGTCCACGATGAACGGAAAGTCCGGGGCTCCCCGTGACCCCGTCAGAACAACGTAGGGCTTCCGAGCGGACCATGATTACGTCACCACAAGGATGCTCTCCACCTTCAGGGATGAACTCAGATTCTAGATGACGGAAGAAATCCTTGGTTTTATGTTTTAGGACTCCGTGAACACACAGAACGAAACCTGGAAAACCTGGCCATCATGACACGGATCTTTAGAAAAAGAATCATATTTAGAACATCGCCCGGACCACTGGCCACTTTTCCTCTTGGTATTTGCTATCAAGAGAATAAAGTCTTGCCTTCAACACTGTACACACAACAGTCCCACCAAATAGCTTAAAAACAAAGCAAAACAACTGCTCTGGTGACACGACGCTGGGACCAACAGCTTCGTTAGGAAATAAAATTCCCATTAGTGCTGAAGGGACACCATCACACTGTCTCTAGAGCGTTCTGTTAGGACCATTCATTTGCTTTTTTAGAATTACATTCTACATAAGTTTCCGTGGAGACATGACGCACTCCTGGCCCCATACCGATAGGTGTTCGTTAGAATTACCGAAGTGGCCCCGGGACAGTGAGCAGCAGGCAGGGAGGGTTCCAGCAAGTGCTGTCTCTCGTTCACTAACGGGCGAATGCTGGGTTTCCTCGGGATGAGTTAGCTCCCACTTTGTGACTCGCCCCTGGAGTCGAGTAATGAAAACGGACAACCTGTGAGGGGAAGTGGGAAAGCTGGCGGCAGAATCGTTGTCCAGGTTCCTCAGCGTCACTAACGGCCGACATTGAACATGAGGGACAAACGCTGCAATTTCAACCGGCTCTGGGTGACACCATGGAGAGCAGCGTGGAATCGTCACACAATGAAAAGGTCTGATGTGAGCCCGGCCGGTGTGGCTCAGGGGTTGAGCGTCGACCTATGAACCAGGAGGTCACAGTTCATTCCCGGTCAGGGCACATGCCGGGTTGTGGGCTCGATCCCCAGTAGGGGGCGTGCAGGAGGCCCATCCATGAGTCTCTCTCATAACTGATGTCTCTCTCTTCCTCTCTGAAATCAATAAAAATGTCTATTTCTTAAAAAGGTTTGATGTTAGAGTCAGTTATGCCTGGCTGTGCAGTTCACGCTCCTCCACCCCCGAGCCAGGGCGGGGAGGATGGCGACAGACAGCCTTTGGCGTGTGTTACAGAAAATGTGACAAGTGAACATACTGCCGGGCTCGTCCTGAAAAAATTAAATTACCCACAAACCATTACAGTAGAGGAGGAAGGATGAGCATAATTCACAGGAGACAGAACAGATCAACATGTCCAACAGGACCGATTCCCATTCACTCAGAGCTAAACGTCAAGTGAACAGAGGCATTTAAACGAGAGACTCCAACTCAGTGGCCGAGAATCAGCTTCCAACTGAGCTAAGGAGTGTGCGACGTGTGCATGAACTCTAAGTGCCTCCGTCGGACCTTCATTTAGAATCAGCCTCAAAGTTAAAAAACGGTCAATGTACTGTTCTCAGGGTAGGTTCAACCTCCTCGTGGTAAAACATCTTAATTTACGTTTCGTTATAAAAGTGTACAAAAGACTACTTTCTCCCTTTCCTCCGCTCAGGATAGACCCCTGCCGGCTCAGTAACGCCAGCCAAGCGGGTCCCCTGAGTCCAGGGCATGTCGCTACTGCATCTTCCACAGTCACACGGCGTCGCAAGGCTCAGCACACCGTTTCTTCCCAAACATACAGCGACCGTAACCGGAGTGACGTAAGGAGAACGGGGCGAGAGGTCTTTAAAAAAATATACAAGGGGAATAAACATCTGTTGTAGGTTTTGTTCCACATTCCCCAATTAAGACAAAACTGTAGAAACCACCTCCTACTCGTAATCCCAGGAGTACACAATAAAAAACGTTCCCAAACTTCTGGTCAAGCAGAATATTAAATGTGTCTTTTGATGATCTGTCATTAAACTTTTTAAAAAACTATACTTATTCAGCTGTTGGAAAATATTCTCTGACTTCGGGTGACAGAATAACTCTTTGTTTTTTGTTGTTGTTTTTTTAATAAGGTGAAAAGGAATTAAGTACCTAAGACTGTTTCCGATTAGTCACTCAAAGCGGGCTTCTCTCCCCCAAGCCTGTATTTTAAAAAATAAGTTTAACGTAACTTTTGGCATTAACTTATATTTGCTCATCAGAAAAACGGGAATAAACTTATGTATCTAAATTGATCATCTTTACAAAATATTTAACGTGAGGAAGAGGTATATCTTACAGAATTATTTGGCTAGATCCTAAGGCAATCAATGAAGACAGAATTTTTCTGATCGTAAATCGGACACAAGTGAATTTCTACAACATGATATTCCTCCGTCAACGGGAAAGCCCGACGGCTGCAGCACTGCAGTCACGCCCTGTCGTCGCTGAACTTCCATGAAAGTCGTCTGAATGAGAACGGAACAAATTTGGTGCCTGCACCAACATAGAATTTGTTCTGAAATTCCACCCTAAAATAAAAAAAAATTCCATGTGTTAATGAAAGGTTGCGAGTAACATTCCCCACATTTCATAAAACAACTTTTATAAATTAAGAACAAAAAATTCCTGGGCTGCAGTTGCTTCATCCCATAGTGCTCTTGCAGAACTATTTGTACTTAGACAAAATGAGCACGCGTGCTCGCCCTGTGTAGGCATGACGTGTTAGAAACACTTCGCACCGCCTCATGCACTGCACACACGTGTGTGCGCGCGCGCACACACACACACACACACACCTGCACCCAGGACCTCTCTCCCCACCATGGTAGCTGGGCACACAGACAAGCAATCTGATATACACTGTGAAACACTGAGAAATAGGTATGAAGCCTTTTACAAGATAAAGAAAGGCCCACGGTGAACTGAGAGCCGGAAATGCACACAATGACTGGGCAAGCGTGAACTTGCTCTCGCTTGTCAGGGATAGCAGCTCAGAAACAAAATAGAATTCTACCTCGGAGGATCTGAACACAGCCCCCAGTGTGAGGAAGGGAAGACACAGCTAAATTAAGCTCTGGATTTTTGGGGGGCTATATACACACATCTGGGGGAGGGGTTCCACTTTTCGTAAGGAATAGTTGAGCTGCCGGCTCACCAATGGAGGCGAATGGCGTGGAGGAACGCAGACAGCCCCTCCATGACCAGCAGGATGAAGATGGTCAGCACGGCGAAGAGCGCCATCACCGGGAGCAGCAGCAGGACCCCGTAGGTCTTGTCCACGCGGAGGCCCACGCGCATCAGCATGGCCCACAGGACGTCGGACAGCTCTGTTCACGGAAGTGAGTCACCTTCAGGGCTGGCTGCCCCGGCTTCCTCCTGACCATTCCCACTGCTACCCATGAACAACACCCCTCCTCTACTAGGACACGTCACCTGCTTCTCACGGAACCATAAACCAGCTCCCCGACCATCTCGAGCACCGAGGAAGGCAGGGCCGGTCAGGACACGGCCGCCTGCCTCCCGGGAGAGGGCGAGCCAACTGGGGCCAGTCGGCTCTGTCCCAACACAGCCCTGGCCCGTGAGCGCGCATTTCTCCCAGCAGCCCCGGGCCAACTTCACCCCAGAGCTGAGAGACGGGGCTGTGCTTCCCCCACAATTTAAAGCCTCCTGTGAGTTGGTCGGGTGCTGGGGGAGGGTAAGGGGGTGGGGGGACACTTACGTGCGTGCGCCAGGCTGAGGGCCCAGAGCCGCAGGTAGGACGCGGTGTTGGAGATGCAGCCCAGGCAGTACTCGATGGAGTGGATCACTTGGGTCATCAATATTTCTCCAAAGTTAAACTGCAGGAGACCACGCAGCATGGTTAGCGTCGGCGCCAGGGCGACCGTGAGAGCTGGCTGCGGCCCGGCGCGAGGACGCCAGGGTGCGGGGCGGCGACTCACAGCTCTGCTCGCAGCCCTCCCCACCCCCCTCGGTGTCTCACCTGGAGACGGATTATCATCCTTCTCACCAAGACCATCACTACATGAAAGCTTAGTGATGAGTCTATTCTTTATTGATTTCAGAGAGGAAGGGAGAGGAGAGAGATGGAAACATCAGTGATGAGAGAGAATCATGGATCAGCCGCCTCCTGCACACCCTGCACTGGGGATGGAGCCCACAACCCGGGCCTGTGCCCTGACAAGAATTGAACCGTGACCTCCTGGTTCCTAGGCCAACGCCCCACCACTGAGCCACACCGGCCGGGCATGTGCGTCTATTTCACCATGAGGAACTGAAAGCTTTACCTCTTCACAGGTCACCTCCCTGCAGCCGTCCTCCAGCGGGGTGCTCCCCTCCTCTATGTCCTGGCTGCCCATCAGAGACACCTCCTCCTCGCTGTCCTTCCTGACCAGTGTGTACCCACTCTAGCGACAAACAGGGAGCACGGTCAGCGAACAGGGAGCACGGTCAGCGGACAGGGAGCACGGTCAGAGAACAGGGAGCACGGTCAGGGAACAGGGAGCACGGTCAGCGAACAGGGAGCACGGTCAGGGAACAGGGAGCACAGTCAGTGGACAGGGAGCACGGTCAGCGGACAGGGAGCACGGTCAGCGAACAGGGAGCACGGTCAGCGAACAGGGAGCACGGTCAGCGGACAGGGAGCACGGTCAGCGGACAGGGAGTACAGTCAGCGCCTTTCAAAGCAAAGCTGTGACAAGGCCAAGGTCAGAGCCCCCGGCTCCTCCTCACGAGTTTTAGACTCTCAGGAACACAAACACCCTTTAGGATAAAATGAGGGCTCTGTACCCGTTAGGACAGCGATTATAAAAAAATCACAGGAGCGCGTGCTGGTCGGGGGCCGCCCCCAGCGAAGCAGCAGCCCTGCGGGAGGAGGCGCTGCACGGCTCCCGAGGAGGCCTGGACCCCGAGGGGAGGAGCACATGTGAGCAGTCACTCCCACCAGGTCCGGGGGATCAGAGTCATGGGCTCCCAGGGCAGGCGGGCGGGGTAGGGTCTGCCGGGGACCGAGGAGCGGGGGCGGTCAGAGCTCCGAAGGCCGCACTCACCCTGCTGACCCCGAAGCAGCTGCGCCCGTTGTGCAGCCACAGCAGGAAGAGCGGCTTCCCCAGGAAGAGCACGGGCACGGCCATCGCGGTGACGGCCAGCAGCAGCCGCTGCACGTGCTCCTGCGGGCGGAGGGGGGAGGGGGTCATCGGCACGTTCCTTAAATTAGCAGAAACCAAGCCCGACATCCCTTCATTCGTAAGCAAGGAGCTCAGAGCAAGTGCACGCCCAGGGCCGCCTCCTGGGCCCAGAGCGATTCCAGCACCAACGACGACGATGACGAGGGCTACAAGGCGGCGAAAGCTGTCGGGTTCAGACTCCACTTGGAGGCGGCGGGGGGCTGGGGACAGGCAGGGCGGGCGGGCAGCCGCTGCCGAAGGGCCATCACTCAGACACCTGGTCATTGGAGAGGCCATGCGGCTGCGGCCCAGGTGCCCATTCTCGGACGACCTGCCTTGTCAGAGAGGGATTTTAAAGAAACTGGGAAAGTGGGGGGACTGGGCAGCCCTCGGAACCCCCAGCCGTACATTTACTTCCCACCAGTTCTGACAGCTACTGAGCAGCAGGGGGCTTGTTTTTAATATGTTTTTATGGATGTCAGAGAGGAAAGGAGAGGGAGAGAGAAACACCAATGACGAGAGAGAATCATGGATCGGCTGCCTCCTGCACGCCCCCTGCTGGGGATCAAGCCCACAACCCGGGCCTGTGCCCTGACCGGGAATCGAACCGTGACCTCCTGGTTCATAGGTCAATGCTCAACCACTGAGCCATGCTGGCCAGGCTGTGGCAGGGAGTCTGGATGGTACGGCCTGTCCAGTGCCCCCAGCGCCATGTCCAGCAGGCCACATCCTCCTGTGGTAACACACGGAGACGCAGCCCCTGTGCCCGCAGGCCGGGGACAGCCCCGGCAACGCGCTGACGGCGCCGGGACAGAGGGGACTCACCTGGCCCGCGTACAGGCCGCTGGTGGCCGTGGTCGGGAACAGGAACATGTTGATGAACTCGATGAGAATGCTGGGGGCCACCCTGGAGGTCTCCGCCGAGTAGACCAGCCACTTGTAGATGATCATGAAGATGAGGTACCCAAACATGCAGAGCAGGAACAGCAGCTCGGGGACCGACACCAGGTAGATGTTGAACTTCTTCCTGAAATGCCTGGAGGAGGGCGGTCGGCCCGGGCAGGGCCGCGCTGAGGCAGTCACTCCTGTGACGAAGCTTCTTAGCACGGCTCCCGCCCGACACGCTGACTAGGGCTCCAGGGAGAGAACCGTGTGGACGCAACACGATGCGCGCCCCCACAGACCCAGTCGGGGAAGACACACCCTCTCACTCCTAGACACCAGCTCGTAACAACAAAAGGCTGTCTCGCCCGGCTGGTGGGTTGGAGCATCGCCCGCACACCAAAAAGCCTGCAGGTTCGATGCCGGTCAGGGCGCATACCCAGGTTGCGGGTTCAATCCCTGGTGGGGCAGGTACATGAGGCCACCAATCGATGCTTCTCTCTCTCATCAATAAAGATATCCTCCAGTGAGGACTAAAAAATAATAATTTTTAAAAGTTTTCTAATTCATAAAAAAAAAGAATGAGAAAAATCAATCCTAGAGATGAATATATAATTGCCTTGCTTCCCGGCCTCCTCCCTGCTCATTCCCTAGAGCCAAAAACACTGCCTGGCACAACTCCGTGCTCCATAAACATCTGCTGAGCGAACGAGCTAATGAAACTGTCAAAAACCGTATCATCGAGACAATGACTCACACACTCGGCCACCACATCGGCTGCCTCTTACCCATCGTCTACCATCAAGAGGCAAAGTAAGAAATACCCAACTTGGCTTAGAAATACGGCTTTTGAAAAATCTCTACTTACAAGTGGTTAAATATTCCCAGAACGACTCCAAAAGTCATGTGGATAATTCCTAAAATCACAGACATTTTCATTTTGAAAGAGTTCAGGAAAGTGAGGCGATTTGTGGCCAAATTCCAAATCTAAAGACAAAACAAACCAAAAGAGAAGTCGTTAGCGCCCTCCCTCTGCCGGGGGGACAGTGGAGACCTCCATCTGAAGGGGAAGCAGCGTCCCCTTTCTGCCTGAAGCTCCACCTGAGACGCTGTCCCCTCAGCCCAGGGCCCTGAGTGACACACAGTCTGAACATAAAGGCCCAAGAATGCCAGCGAGCCTGTGCGTCTGGGGACAGCGCCCAGGAAGTGAAAGGAGAGGAAGGGACCCTCGGGCTCAGCGGAAGGAGCGCCCCGTCCCCTCTGGGGAGAGCGGGAGGGCGCTGGCGGGGCCCTGACCTTGGGCAGGGACAGGCAGGGCTGTGTGTTACCTTCACATACAAATATTGCAGATTAACAACAACAAAAATTTTTTATTAAAGCACGTGCAGGCAGGTGGGTGCTGGGAATGTCAGGGCACCGTCCTGTAACATGACTAACCCTATGTGCACACCTGAACCTACTGCAAAGCGACAGATTGGAAACTGTAAACAAAACAAAGCCCATGAGCCTGTGACTAGTCTGAGAAGCCACGGTGCCGGCCGCCGTGCGGAGGAGCGGGGGCGGGGGAAGGAGGGAGTGGGGCAGAGGGGGTGCACTCACAGGATCGATGCCCAGCGGGTACGGGCCCTGGAACACCCCGGGCACGCTCGGGTCCAGCTGCAGGACGCGGCTGCGCCGGACCACGCTGTCACTGCAACAGAGCGAGGGGTGAGGGGAGAGGGGGTCTGGGGAGGACGCTCTCCCTGCCCCACCCGTCGCCTGGCTGCCCGGGCACTTACTTCCAAAGGGCCATTTTCCCGCGCTCCGCCGGGGCGTGGCTGGCGCTGTACATGGCAGACACGTTCCAGCCGGAGCCAAAGAGGTTGACGGACTTGGAGAAGCAGTCGTTGTAGATGAGGCCCGTGTACACCGAGAACAGCCCCATCAGCAGGAGGATGTACCGGCCGTTGAAGAACATGCCCATGATCTGTGTGGAGAGCAGCGTGCGGTGAGCACAGGGGTGCGTGCGGCAGGAGCGGGAGATGGGTCACGTGACCAAGGCTGGTCCAGGCCCCTTCTCAACCACTGCCCTCAGGGCTCTCAGAGACAAGGCACTGCAGCCCAGACAGTGTGGCTCAGTGGTTGAGCATCGACCTATGACCCAGGAGGTCACAGTTCCATTCCCAATCAGGGCACATGCCCGGGTTGTGGGCTTGATCCCCAGTGTAGGGTGTACAGGAAGCAGCCGATCAGTGAGTCTCTCTCATCACTGATGTTACTCTCTCTCTCCCCCTCTCTTTCTAAAAACCAATAAGGGGAAAAAATTAAAAAACAAAACAAAACCACAACCAAGACGCTGTCACAGAGGTTCCTGTCACAGAGGCGACCCCACATCAGGTCTCAGCCAGGCCGTACGGTTACTGCCAAGCCCCGACCAGCACTCAGGAAACGGCTGTGTTGGTCCCAGGAAGAGAACCACGACTCCGGCTGCCCAACCAGAGGGCGGTGCGGCGGCGGCGGCGGCTTCTTACCTCCTGAGACTGACTCAGCCTGGGGTGGTTTTCATTTAACACCATCAGGAGGGCAAACAAGAACATCACGAAGCCGTGTCCGAAGTCCCCGAACATCACGGCGAACAGGAAGGGGAAAGTGATGATGCTGAAGAGAGCTGCAGGGGCAGGAGAGCTGGCTCAGGGCCGGGCGCATCCAGCCGGCAGCGCAGGCCCCAGGGAGGGCGGGCGGGAAGCCACGCAGGACAGCGCAGTGGCAGGGCCTGCATCCCACGCGCGGGCCCCAGTCAGACGTGCACACGCAGGGCCCCACCTGGGTTCACCTCCCGGTAGCTGCCCACGCCGTAGGCGTCCACGATGTTCTGAAAGCCCTCGGTGAACTTGTTGGTGCGGATCAGGGTGGGGGGCGTTTCTGTCGTCGGGATCGTGTTCATAAACGAGGTGATGGTAGCACCGCTCTCTCTCTTTCACATGAAAAAGAATAAAAATAAAAAAGACTGTCCAAGAGCCTTTTCAACACACTGCTTCCTGCCAGCGAGGCTCTGTGGGCTCCAGGGGGAAAGTATTCATCGCACCGCCAGGTTTAAGGACAGGTTCAAGGATAGCAGAAGCAGGAACAGGTACGGGGTCCTGCCAGCCGGGCCAAGTGGGTGGGAGGAGCTGGAGGGACTCCTCAGGCAGAGAGATACTAGGAGCCCCAGGATCACCAGGAAAACTGGAATTCAGTCTTTTATCTTTTAAAAATGTTCAAGAGGCAGATCAACCAAAGGCCCTTCTGCATAAACGCATCACCACGGACACAGGCAATAAGGCGGTGGAGGCCTGGGGCGGGCAGGGCCGGGCTGGAGGGGTCAATGGGGAAAAGGGGCATATGTGACACTTCCAACAATAAAGATTTTAAAAAGATAAAAATTAAAACTAATATAATATTCAGGAGGCCTTCAGAGGCAGCTCCACCAGCTAATAAACTGAAATCCCGCGTCACTGGCCAGCGGCCACCGGTAGCCCCGCCTGCAGCGTCACCTCCTGAAACACACCCACTGACGGATGGGGGGAGGCCTTCACAATCCAGAGCTCGGGTTGGGACCAGAAGGGCAGGTTTCCAGCCGAACTCTATTTCCCGAGACACAGGGCTGGGTCCTGGGAGAGCTGCCGCCATGGCAGAGCGTGAACCCCCGAGTCCCCTCAAGGGCAGGCAGTGCGACTGACAGCAAAACTGAGACCCACCAACATGCTCATAACAGAGCCAGGGCCCCGAGACCACAGAACACCGTGTGGGACCCGCCCCTGGACTCCCAGCCTGCCTCCCGGCCGCGGAGGCGGAGGAGCAGTGGTAGCCGAGCTCCCGCGGGCTCCCAGCCGTCGGGCGCCTTACCGAGCCGTCCTCCAGCGCACGGCGCAGGCCCTGCAGGTCGGCCTCGGGGCACCAGACCTCGGCGATGAGGCACTTGTTGGTCACGTCGAGGCTGCACATGTTGAGCATGTGGTAGATGGCTTTCATCTTCTTCACCTGGACGGCGCGGCTGTACACCGACTCGGCCGCCTTGCACAGCACCTGCCTGAGGTAGTCCTCGGTTTTGTGCAGCACCTGGGGGAGGAGCGCGGCTGTGGGTGGGCAGCTCTGAGCTCTGCCCGAGTCCCACGGAGGGAGGCTGAATGCCCGGCACCTGCTGCCTGGAGACAGGTGAGCGAGCCTTCACTCTGCCTCCTCCTCTTCCCCCTTCTCCTCCTCCTCTTCCTCCTCCGGGACCCCAGGACCCCATGAGGCCGGTGGAGACCTGAGCTCAGCCCTTCCGATGCCCCTGGAGCTGCCTCTCCCGAAGAGGAGCCAGAGGACAGAGTCTGAGGTCACAGCCACTGGGGCGGCACCAGGCCTGCCCTGTGCAGGGACCCCGGGTTCTCACGCATCCCCCATCCCGCCCCGCCCGGAAGCCCCTGGCGCCTCAGTGGATCACAGCCCGAGAGCCCTCCCTGCCCTGAGCAGAAACGGGACACGAGAGCCAAACTCGGAGCGGGCGTGATGAAGACTGCGCCGACACGGCACGGCGACCTCCCATGCAAAGCCGACACTAGCGAGGTCCCAGAGGCTGTAAGACAACACGCCACGACGGGAGAGGCGGCCTTCCGGCCCCCTGGACACCGCCACGTGCCCCATCCAACCGGACAGGAGAGCGGCCGGGTCTGAGCGTGTCCCAGCCTCGGCGGGTGGCCGGGCCAGGCCACTCACCGTGTACAGGTCCTGGATGCGGGTGCTCAGCCCCTCCTGGATCTCACGGCGCTCCTCGGCGGTGCTGGGGTACGGGTAGATGTGGCAGTGGTAACTGCAAGACAGAATTCCCCGCCGTCAGGGTCAGGAGGGGCTAGAGGAACGCTGGAGCGAACCTCAGAGGGAGAAACTGCCCAGGGCTCCACCGAACACAGGCAAGTCCATGTGCGGCTCAAAATACTTCAACTTGATTCCTTTTCCAATTGATCTTTTTAAAAAATGTTTTTAAATGACTTTCAATGTTTTTTCAAATGATCTTAGAAAGAGAGGAAGGGAGGAGAGATAGAAACATCAATGATGAGAGAGAAGCATGGACCGGCTGCCTCCTGCACACCTCACACTGGGGATGAGCCCACAACCCGGGCCTGTGCCCTGACGGGGAATCAAACATGACCTCCTGGTTCCTAGGTCAACGCTCAACCACTGAGCCCCGCCGGCCGGGCCAATTGATCTTTTAAGCCTTGATTTCTAAAACACACACAAATCTGGGAATGGCACTAACATGGTCTCTACTTTTAAGTTATTTTAAGAATTGCCCTGGCAAGAGTTACCTAACCAATTAAATGTTTAAAAATGTAGCATTTAAGCAAAGACGTCGCATGACAACGCCCAGCAGCCTTCGCACCCGCTGCCGTGCCTGTGTGTGGGGAAGGAGGGGAGGCTGCTCTCACCAGTCACAGATCTTCTTCACCTTGTGGCCGATCTGCTCGCCCCAGAAGGAGATGAGGAACACGTGCCACTTGATGACTTCTCCCTGCGGGGAAGGCACCCTTACTTCCGGGGCTGCAGCGGGAACCCCTCTGGCGGCTCGGCCTCTGTCCGTCCTGTCACTCATTCCCCCAACACACGCGCCGACCTCCTTCCTGGGAGGCCACACGGCAAGTTCACCTCGAAAAGCATTCCCGACCCCAAACCAAGGCCGGGGCATATTTTTGGTCATTTTCGGGCAAGTAGAGCGACTAAAACCTTAGTTCCCCGCGTGCACATCCCCTCTGCCTCGCTCCACCTCAAACTGCAAGCGAGCGCCCTTGGCTTGGCCTATTCCAGGCACGGTCTATGCTCTCGGGTGGTGGCTTCGCTGCTGAAATGGCCCGAGCGCAGTGCTGACGCGGGACACACCTCTCAGAGAAAACCTCACGGGCTCCGAGGCCTGGAGGGGGCAGTGTCCACCTGGGTCAGCCGTGCTGTGGCCGTGGGAGGAGGCCCTGGAATCTCGGAGGAGGAGGGGCGGGGAGCAGCCCCCGGGGTCCTCCTGCGCTGTGCCCAGCCGCTGCGGGCCTGTCGCTGGCCGAAGACGACCGTGCCGCCCACTCACCGTTTCCGGGTCCTCGAGGGACTCGTCCAGCTCTGCGTAGGTCACGATGGTGTACCCTTTGCAGACCCTCCACAGCATCCTCTCAAACGCCTCCACCTTCCCCTGGTGGATGAGGCCGGACACGAAGCTAGGAGGAATGCAGACCGCCGGTCAGCGGAGGGCTGCGGCTCTCACCCAGCACAGCACCCGGGCGACGAGCACGCCATTCTGGCCCCGGGGAAGGGGGCCTCCGACTGCCGGACCCTAACACGCCGGTGAGAAGGCCCTGAAGCATCCTTTCCAGGGTGAGCCGAGCCCAGACTCAGGACATCCGGGAACAGAAGGCACAGGGCCTCGCCCCCCACCCCCACCGCCCCCAACCAGCATCCTAAGGCCTGGAGTCTCGGTGCTCGCGTGGGAGAGGTGCTCGCGTGGGAGAAGGGGATGGGCCCTGCGTCTCCATCACGTGAGGAAAAGATCACCCCCAAATCTCCTCTCTCAAGTTGGGTCCCCCAAAGGGCCCCCCTCAGTGAATGGGGGATGGGCAATCTGCAAAGGAGCCCACAGGTGCCGGGCTACGTCCCAGTTTCGGTGGAAGGGGAACGCCTTCCCCAAGAGTTCACAGCCACCGGCGAGAACCCACTGGGCGAGGCCTAAGCTCACAGTGAAACACACAGAAAACCCAACAAGAAACCCAGCTGAGGAGGGAGCGTGAAGTGACTCAGGCTGGCAGCGGGGCTCCGGGACCTGACAGGTGAATAAACTCTGGGGGGTCCGTCCTCAGACTCAACACCGAGCTCCCCCAGGTGGTGAATGAACAGAGGGCCGTGCGCTCCGCAGAAGAAACTAGGAGGAGACAAGGTCCCGCCGGTTCAGGTGAACGGCAAGAACGGGCAGCAGGAAGGGCCCTGAGCACAGGGCTGATACATCACCAGCCCCTTCAGCCCCGTGCCCCACGCGGGCCGGGCTGGGCGCTCCCAGGCCCAACTGCCTTAGGCTCGCGGAGCAACGCGGCATAAACGCCCCCTCTTCCCAGCTCCCTGGGCCCGTGGCTCAGCTAGAAACACAGCACAGCTGCCGACTCGACGCGCACACACGGGAGCTCCGTGTTTCCTGAAGCAGCGCTCACTCTCTGTCACTCAATCACGGGCTATGGAGCGTGCCCGTCCGTCCGTCACTCCACGGAGCTCGTCCTCCCCGACAGGGGGCCGAGAGGCCCAACCCCCCCGACTACCTACCCCAGTTTCGCTCCCAGCCTCTGCATAGAGCTGTAGTCCAGCAAGGAGTCGCTGTCCAAGGCGGGGAATTCTTCATACGTGGGCTCAAACTACGAGAGAGGAGACCACGTGCGTCTCGTGAGAAGCGACTCCTTGCGTCTCGTTCCCAGCAGCAGTTTAGGGCGCGTCCCTGCCACGTGGATCTGGTGCCACGGCCCCGGGGAACTCAGACAGGAAACCGCTCTCACCAAGAAAGCACTCACTGCCCGCCCCTCGGCCACAGTCACAGGAGAGCGGAGCGTAAGCTGTGCCCTTCCTGTCCCAGGTGCCCTAGGTTCTGAGCGAAAGTGGTTGGGAAGGAGGAGGGCGGGGGAGGCGGGCTTCTCTTGAACACGCAGCTGCAATAGGGCAACCGCAGGCTCCTGCGCTCTCGTTCTCATCTTAGCAATTCGGAAATAAAGCTGAGATTTTAGACTTGAAAGTCCTGTCCAATTCTTTCTCATGATCATAAGATTTTTTTCAACTGCAAACCTAAGCACTGCACAGACAGGAGGTGTTGCTGCATAACCTACGGACACGGACAGGAGGGTCGTGAAGGCGGGGGGCAGGGGGGATGGAGAGTCAGTGAGGGAGAGAGGGGGCATCTGTAATACTTTCAACAATAAAGATAAATTCAAAACAAACAACAAAAACAAGTAGGAGCTACTGTTATTGCTAAAACCAACCAACACAGGAAAAGGCTTAATGCTTTTTCTCGTGTGGGATCCTCCAACTGAAAAATAAGGCTGAGATCACACATCTCCTGGCAAAAGCCACACGTCGTCGGCAGGAACTGGCAGGAACTGCCAACCCCACCGAGACCCGACGGCCCGAGACGTTCACAGACACAGGCTTCCCGGCGCGCCAGGCCACGGCACCTCCACGTTCCGCCGCACGAAGGTCTTGGTCACCCGCAGCATGTGCGTGTACTCGATCAGCTCCAGCAAGTTCTTCCTCAGCTTCTCCTTGTTCCTCGTGACTTCCCTCAGCTCCACCTCCAGCTTCTGCAGCTGCTCCTGCAACGGAACCGCAGCTGCTCAGCACCCGCCTCGGCGCCCCGGTGGCGCCCCAGCTCCTTCTATGACACCCACCAGTGGAGCTTTTAAAAAGCCAGAGTCTAGCCCTAACCGGTTTGGCTCAGTGGATAGAGCGTCAGCCTACGGATTCAAGGGTCCCAGGTTCGATTCCGGTCAAGGGCATGTACCTTGGTTGCGGGCACATCTCCAGTAAGGAGTGTGCAGGAGGCAGCTGATCAATGTTTCTCTCTCATCAATGTTTCTAACTCTCTATCCCTCTCCCTTCCTCTCTGTAAAAAATCAACAAAATATATTTTTTTTAAAATAAATAAATAAAAAGCCAGAGTCTAGCCAGGTCAGGGGATGATGCCGCCTGCTGAGCCACACCACCCAGGTCGCCTATCTGGGGTGAGCGCCCTCTGGCTCTGAGAGGACGGGCAGGCGACCAGGCAGCAGACAGCGAGGAGGTACAGCCCTGAGGGCGGCGCGTTACCTGCATTTCCAGGACCTGCTTCAGAGGCGGGGCAGGGGGGCTGGTCTCGCCCTCGGGGAGCGGGATGTCAGCTCTGTGAATCTCCTGCACCAGGTACGCTGCGGAAGCCAACAGGAGCGAGTGAGGCCCCACACCGCGCAGGTGGCAACACTTCACATCCCCACTTCCCTGCGTGTCTGACCATCCACGTCTGGTTCCCACGGACTCAGAGGCCACCCGCTGTGGCGCTGCCTGAAGAGCAGCAGGTGGGGCGACAGGGTGACCCATCAGTTGATGGGTGTAGCCCTGAGGCTACAGATGAAAAGAAGCCAGTGCGGCTGTGACCTGAACCTCCATGAGGGGCTGCCTGGACAGGGAGGAGACAGGCGCTTTCTTCTCTTCTTCCTACTCACCTCTAGCTGCTGACTGTTCTGAAGGGAACAGGGTGCTTATGGGAAAGGTTGTTCTCATAAACTCACCCAGGATCCGCTCCAGCTCCTCACACCGCTTCACCTCGCCAACGAATTTTCTTTGGAAAGAACTTACATTCTGGTTGAGCTGAGAAAAGAATCAAAAATGTTCTTTCAACACCTAAAGTTTAACAATGAATTTGACGTTAAAATATCATTGCAAGGGTTTGGGGAACAGCGCGCCCCCGTGGACTGCTGAGTGGGCGCGCGCGGCCACAGCTGTTCTGGAAAGCGCTTGGCAGCTGTTACCAGAAACACCTGAAAAATGCCCTTCGGCCCAGAAACATCCCACGGAGAAAGTTAACCTCAGCCCAAACCGTGGATCCGGACAAAGACTTCTCTAGAAGACATCCACCCGGGATATGGAGACGGCATTCACACGGAAAACTGAAGAAAGGAATTAGAGCCCGCCCACCCGTGGAGGACTCGGCAGGGAGCAGGGACAAGCTGCTGACACATGAAGCGTCACGGAGGACGCTGGGGGTGACAGGACACAAAGGGCACACACTGTGCGACCCCATTTCTATGAAACGTCCAGAGGGCAACCCGCGGGGCGGGAGGCAGACGAGTGACAGCCGGGGCTGAGTGCGGCCGCGGGAAGGGGCTCCCCTCCCGGCGTGGGACGCCTGAAACTGGGCTGGGCACACTTCCTAAAGGTCAGTGACTGCGCTTGAAATGAGTGGATTTCAATACACACATCAATAAAGTTGTACAAAGTTATGACTTAGTCATGTGACTTCTGCACTTATAAAACGGTGTTTGACGTGACTACGGCATTGGATTATAGCAAGAAATTATTAAAGAGCTTGGGTAAAATGATGATACTGTGGTTATGATTTTTAAGTGTCCTCGCCTTCCGGGGACCCCTCGCACGGACTCCGGCCGGGCCACTGCTCTCCGGTCTCCTCCTCAATCCCAGCATCACAGTCCCAGCAGGAAAGAGATGAGACGCGCACACGATTTTCTGGAAGGACTTTGGCAAAGGGACTGTGGACGGGTGTGAGAGCAGGGGCCGACCAGGGAGGAGGGACCCGGAAACAGACCAGCCAAGGTCTCAAGGGGGTGGGGCCACGTGAACAGCCGGAAGTGGGCACGTGAACGAGGGAGTGGGGCCAAGTGATCACGCTCGCACGGGAGGACCGAGGAGGGGCCACCTGAAGATTGAAGGGATGCGGCCAGGAACCCCCAGAAGCTGAAGAGGCAGGAAGGACCCTCCCCTGGAACCCTCCCAGGGAGCACAGCCCCGACACCCTGATTTCAGGTTCTGGCCCCAGCACGGGGAGAGCACATGTTCCTGTGGGTTGAGGCCAGAAGGCCTGGGAGGAGCGAGGGGGGGAAGGGGCGTGTGGAAGGGGGCGGCATGGAGGGGGTCAATGGGAGGAAAAGGGGGACATCTGTAGTACTTTCAACAATAAAGATAAATTTAAAAAAAAAATCACAGCCCAGCCAGTGTGGCTCAGTGGCTGAACACCGACCTACAAACTAGGTCACAGTGATGGTGAACCTTTTGAGCTCGGTGTGTCAGCATTTTGAAAAACCCTAACTTAACTCTGGTGCCGTGTCACATATAGAAATTTTTTGATATTTGCAACCATAGTAAAACAGAGACTTATATTTTTGATATTTATTTTATATATTTAAATGCCATTTAACAAAGAAAAATCAACCAAAAAAATGAGTTCGCGTGTCACCCCTGACACGCGTGTCATAGGTTCGCCATCACTGAACTCGGAGGTCAGGTTCGGTTTCCGTTCATGGGGAAAGGCATTGGGGCACGAATTCTTGTGTCTAGCGGACACTCAAGAAGACAATCAGACAGCAGCTCGGCACGAACTGCTCAAGCACGAGAGTCTCTACCCCGAGGTTCGGTTCTTGTTCAGCGTGTTGAGTTATTTTTTTAAAGAATTACCCACAAGGAAGACAACTCCTCATGCCACCTGTCTGTCAACTCCCACCCCTTCCTGGACTCACGCTGACCTGACGTAGCCCTCCAGCTCCTGGGGACTCAGACACGGTCTTCCCGACGGAACTGAGTGTCACAGGGGAGCCAGGCGCCCCAGCCTCTGCCAACCACCCGCTTCTCAGCTGCAGGTTTTCCTTCCTCACGTCAAACCCAATAACCCTCATCGGACCCCGTGGTTCTGCAGACAGACCCTCAGGAAGAGGCCGGCGTCTGGCCCTGACACGTGGATCGGGCTGGCCATCCCACCATCACCGTCTCACAGGTATTCACTGTGTGTTTCCTGTGACGTGGCTTCTTTTACAAAGTTTCACTTCTCTTTTCTTTTTAGGGAGGCAACATCACCCTCATTCCAGGCCAGTGATATGAGGAACCTGTAAACGTGGATTCACTGGAAGACTAACATTTAACCTCAGAAAACCAGCAGAGGGCCCGGCCGGTGGGGCTCAGGGGTTGCGCGTCGACCTATGAACCAGGAGGTCAGGGTTCGATTCCCGGTCAGAGCACAGGCCCAGTTTTCCGGCTCCATCCCCAACGGGAGACATACAGGAGGGCAGTTGATCAGTGATTCTAACATCGGTGCTTCTCTCTCTCTATCCCTCTCCCTTCCTCTCTAAAATCCATAAAAACCTAAAAAACAAAACTGGCAGAGGCTGCCTGGTGCTCTTTTTACTAATCTCCACTCCACTCCCAGCAGCTCGGGGGCTGCCCACAGGTGAAAACTGTTCTGAGACTGTGACAAAGGGCAGGCTCCAGCCGTCGCTGAGCCCTCAGGTTAAATAACTTTGCTTTCATCCAGGCCTTCTCATTGCTGTCGCCACGGAAACCCAGGCCCCGCCTTCTTCCCCTCAGAAGGGCTATTGAATGAAAAGGGGAAAATTGTTCAACCCAAGCCCGAGACCAAGTCAGAGATCAGGGGTCCCATCTGGTGAAGCCGAGGTCAGTAAGAAAGGCCAGAACAGAGCAGGGGACCGTCAGCCGGGATGGAAGTTCCTGCACTGGCATCCATGCTGCCTGGCAGCCGACCGGAGACACAGACACACAGACAGACAGACAGAGACGGACACACACACACACCCGCAGCTCGGAAAACCTGGCCCCACACCGGGAAGAGCTCCTTTTGGTCCGGTTTCCTCCTGGGAGAGGATGAGCGCACTTTCGCTTCCTCCCGCCGAGTGTCAGGCTGTAATGACACTCGGTGAAACTCGAATCTTGGCGGCGACGACTGGGGCATTTGTTCAAGCCTCTGAGATTGGAGCCTGACACGCCCCGCGGCCCGAGGACTCACAGGATGGAGCACATCCACCTGCTGTGAAGGAGGGAGCGTGTGCCCGGGTCAGCCTAGCACCCACCAGGTAAGTGGGTCCCAGAACCAGGAAGAGAGCCGGGCCTGCCCGTCACTCGGGGTTTTCTCCCCAACGGCATCAGCACGCGGTAGGGTGTTCCCTTCGGAAATGAAGGAGCCCCCGAAAGACGAGAGGAAGCCACCAGGGGAGGAAGGCTGTGGCCCAGGAAATAAAACCTCCACGTCCGTGACTTCCCGTCCCAACAGCACATCTCGGTCCTGCTTCCCAACCTCCCTTCCACACCCTGTTCTCCCCATCGCCCTCCGTAATCGGTGTATTTGCCCGGCGCCTCCCAGGCTGTGAGCCACGACACAAGGACCTTGTCCTCCTGGCTGGCCACCCAGTCGGTCCCAGCACCCAAGCCGGCATCTGGAACAGAGCACACATTCCATACAGGCGTGCCCGGTCGCTCCACAAACGCCCTTTAGTGCCACAAACCAGGGGCTGTTCCCAGTCTTGGGGAATCAGGAGTGGACCGGGGAGGAGAGGCCCTGACCGTGGGGGCTGACGGTCCGCGGCGGAGACAAACGGATAGACAGATGCACAAACAAGTGCTCACTGTCACTTGGGGAGACAGCGTCCATTCAACGAATACTGACGGCGCTCCCTGCCAGGCCATGGCACCGTCCCACATCAGCGAACAAAACCGACACAAATCGCTCCCCTGGTGGAGCCCGCACCTCGCTGGCTGGCTGCCAGTTCAGGCGCTGGGCTCACCTGCCACCCGGTTCCCTGATCTTGCCCAGGCCCGGTCCTTCCCGTCAGGTCGCGGCCCAAACGCCACCTCCTCCGAGAAGCCCACCCGGACCACCGCCAGCCGAGCCACCCTCACACCAACCCCGTTTTATCTTCTCAGCAAACATTGTCTTGTGTGTGGATTGGTGTGTCCGATCTCTGTCCCCCGCCACATGGGACTCGGGGAGGGAGGCCTTGTCGGATGTGCTCCCCCGCCCGGCCCGGTGCCCGGCACAGGGGCGTCGGATGGCACGACCCGAGGCCGAGGAGGACCTCACGGGGCGCTGCTCGCTCAGCCGGGACCCTGAGCTGGGCCGCAGCTCCGGCCGGGGACCGACCTCAGTTTCCCGGCCTGGGGAATGGGGGCAGCGGCGCGCCCCGGGCCCGGCGCGGGCGGAAGGGAGGCCCGAGTCTCCCGGGCGACACTCACGTCTCGGAACTGGACCAGGCCCTTCTCGCCCAGGGCGCTCAGGCACTCGTAGGCCGTGCCCGACTGCAGGAAGAGCTGCGCCAGGCACATGGGCTCGCTCCGGAACAGAGACCCCATGGCGGGCGGGCGACCCGCGCCCGGCGG